GTTTCTCTTCCTCCTTGTCTTTTCTGCAGTTCAGAAACAGCGTGCGAGGCACTGCCCTGCTGAGGCATTGTGCTCGTTCCTTCTCCCGGGCCGGGCGCCTGACTGCCTGCTGCGTGCCAGCTGGGTGGGGTCCGCTTGCAAGCAACATTTCTGTTGCTTGAGGCTTTGGGGAAGAGGGGGATGGATGCGGCTTGGTCCTAGCAGGACCGTATTCTCTTCTGCCTCTGTCCACCGGCAGCTAATAGTCTTCACAAAATGAGAAACGGACATGTTTGGGCGGAAGCCAGACAAGATCCTTTTTCTTACGACATTCCGCACCAGATGATTTGGTTGATTCGGTGGTGCAGGGCTCTCCGCTACACGCCCTCTTTCTCTCTCCTGAACTGGCCCTTGATTTCCTCCGTAGCTGGCAACCTCAGGGAAGCAAGGAGGAGTTGAAAGGTATTCTGCACATGCTCACTTCCTTCAGCTTTGTTCCTGTCCTTCAGCTGAGCCTGGGCATTTCGCAAGCAAAGCCCAGTGAGCCTTCTTAACCCCTTCACATCATAGGGTCCCGGAAGGTTCTTTGCTTTATCTCCTTAGGCAAAGGGGGTTTTTTTTTCCTAGTAAGGGAGTGAGCATATTCAGATTGCTAAATTAATTATAGCACACTTTCAAAGTGGTTCAAATGCCCGCCTGGGTTCAGCAACACCACCAAAGCCAGCCCAAGTTGTTTAAAATTCAGTCAGGTTTTTTAAAAAGTCAAAATCCACACACCTACAAAGAAACACTAAGGAGATCAACTTTACAAGTGGTATAGAGTTGAGAATGTTGAACTGGCACTCAGGAGGCTCGGATTCTAGTCACCTTTTAGTTATAACACACAGCGGGTAACTTTGGGCTAGTCACTACCTTACAGGGTTGTTGCGAGGATAAATGGAAAAGAAAGAGCATGAATATAGAAGAAACCATGCCAGAGGGAAGGTAGGACATGAAATAAACAATAATCAAGGGAAAGAAATGTGGGCATCCTGAGTGATACCCACAGCACTATTAGGCTCTTGTGCAATACCTGTTCCTTTAAATGGGGCAAATTTCCAAGCAGCTATTTCTCTCTCGAGTCAGACCTGCCTGCCCACCCACCTCCCATCTGTAGTATGTAAAAACTGGCCCTGTAAAAAAGGTAGCCAGCAACTCCACTTTGTACTAATCCTTGATTTTTTTTTCTCCACAATATTTCTTTACCATAATGGCAAGCTCCTTCAGCCTTTAACTAAGGCAGTTGGCGGGCTTTTTATTAAAAGACAGGAAAGGCCTCCATGACAGTACTGTACAAAAATCGTTAACCATTTCTCCCACGTCTCTTTTTCTCCTTGCTTATTCATGTCTCATGGCTTTCTACTGAAGTGGAGGAGAGGGCCTGACTTACAACTTCATTTACTGAGTGAGCTGAATTATTAAAAAGAAACTTTAAAAAATCCATTAGGTAGGAGGAGGACTTAGGAAGGCCCTCAAACCTGAGGCAGAGGAACCCATGTGCGCAGATGGGGTTGCCTCATGAGACAGTTTCAAAGCATTTCATTGTTCAGGCATTCACACCCAGTCAGCACCTTGGCTGGAAGTCCCCTCCTCTGATCCACTCCAATCTCTGCCTGAACAAAACATGTGAAGAGGAAATGAAAGTGGTCACAACCCTGAATTTCAGTCCTGTCTATGTAATTTTGCTACCTCTGATGGAAAGCTAGTCCGTTAGGAGGTACACGCAATCTCACCACTTCTTAAACTTTATGTATGCAGGCATCCTGCTTTCCAGGAAGACAGAGGGAGTCAACCACACCCTACTGTATTTTCTGTTTTAACCATTGTGAACTGCCCCACAAGGCTTTGGATATTGGGTGGCATTGAAATCTAATAAATAGATATGGAATTCTGACCTCCTGCACCATGTGGAGCCCTGTTAGCAATGTTGATAGCTCCCCAGCATGAATCAGCCGTTTCCAAGCATCTTATGTGGAAAGATCTGTGCAAGATCTGGGAATTCTGTAACGCAGGGACAGAGCAAGTTCAATCTGACGTGTGTGTGTGTGTGTGTGCACGCGCGCATGTGTAGAGAATAGCAATGACAGTCTTCTGCATTCTGGTGTAACAAGAGACTGGCTTAAACAGACCTAACTACAGAGCCAAGAACCACACCCTTCAGTGCTTGCTTGCCCATTTCTCCAGATATTTATGGAAATGATAGGAAAGGCCTGTTTCATATCCATGCTCCAATAAATGCTGTGTATCATTCAGATTTATACACCATGCTGCCACCACCATGGGACTCTCCCCTCAGATTGGATGAGCTGATAATCCCCTAAAATGGTGAATATGTGAGAAATAAAAAGGGAAAAGAATGCAAACAGCACACAGAAATGCAGCTCTCATGGCTGTTTTTTTGAAACCAGAATAAATGCCAAGTTAGTACCAGCCGGAAGAGTGAGCCTCAAAGCACTAAGAATTTACCCAGTAATTGCAGACCTTCCCTGGGAACTGGCAGAACTGCAAGTATCTCACTCTGTGTACAAACTGGAGCTCAAACCCAAGTCTGCTGAGGTCCCCTCTGCAGGGAGGGGTGCTGGTCATGAGTGACACCCACAGGACTGAGGCCAGTGCCTCCACCCACAGCCGCTCGCTTCTACCTGGTTCTCATGCTGGTGTGATACCACAAAGCCCCCTTTCCAGCTTAGCAGAATTGAGAGAGGTGAGGTCCTCCTTCACCATACCACACTTGTGAAACAGAAAGATCAGCACCCTAAACCATGTTGCTGGAGAGCAGTGAAAAGTTTAGCTGCCTTATGAACAAGCAACCAGGCCCCAAACCAACGTTCTTGTACCTCAATAGCCAGCAACTCCCCCCCCAGGTTTGACTACGGTACCCAAAGGCTGAGTAGGTAGTACCTCCACCTAGACAGGAGCAGGAACCAGTCAGCAATCATGCAGGTGCTCTCCAATGCAGGCCATGCCAAAAGGGTTGCAGTATACCAAAAGATGGCCTGCATTTGGGCACCAGGTGCAGCACCTGGGAATTTGGTGTATGCTGCACAATGCCTCCACTTAACACTCTGCTTGTGTATCTCTAAAGCCAGTCCTACAAATGCACCACAACACATACAAAAGGTGAGTTGTGAATTGATGAGGATTGCTGTTTAGACTGGGCTAACTCTATGCCAAGTAATTCCATTTTGGACCCCACATGACAGCCCTCCTTACCCATTGCCCATCACATCTTTTGCAATACAATGTCCATTATCCCCCCAGCTAGTAATGGGGAATAATGGGAGTTACAGTGCAAAACATCTGGTAGGCACCAAATTGGGAAAGGCTGCCATAAAATGTATACACATATGCAAGATTTCTTATCTTAGAACAGAGGCACTGCCTGGTTTTCACTAGAACCCTCCTTTAGCCATATAAAGGTTTCCGAGCTTTCAGCAAGCTTTGCCCACAGTATAAAGTGTTATTTTTGCAACCATCAACTCTAGAAACTTGCTTTTCTATAGATGAGAAACAGTTGCAAAGAAGAGTTCTCTGCCAACTACTGCATTCCATGTGTTTTTGGTTCTTCCCACAGAATTACAGCACAGAGTCAACCCAGCTATTAGGGGGCCATGCACATTTAATGAGTGCAACTCCACCTCAGGCTAGAAGGGTAAGTTGATTGATGGCACATTTAAAAGAGCTGCCTCTTCAACACACATCCCATTGGCCCAGGCAGGCATGACCCTCCTAAGAATCCAGGCAACAGTCTTACTGGAGACCCAAAAGGATGGTCATTTGAAGAAAACTGTGATCAGGACATTACTGAACCCACACTTTGATGAACAAGATGCTTGACACCATATTTTTTAAATGGAGAACTGGTCATTTTATGCAAAGAACACACCCATCCCAAACTTTCAACAGGAGCTTGTCAAAGCAAACCTTCTGTACCAACTCACATTGCTTCCTAGACAGAGCAGCTTTCAACCCACCCCCTGCACAAGATTAGGCAGCACCCACTAAGTGGCAAAAAGGTAACCAGACTGTCAAGGACCAGGACAGAGGCCCTCCTGCTTTCCTGCATTGAAAGGACTACAAGTGCTGCCCCCATGGAGTAAATTTAGTCCTGCTTCCCACACAATTTATCTCCTGAACACACCTGGTAGGACCAGGTCTCCTTGCTTTTTAAGTTGCTCTTCCTTAGACTGCTGTTTTGGCCGTTTGGCAAGCTCAAATTTGTAGGGGAATAAGATGGGAGCAAGGCCTCTACTGGCTTCCCATAGCATCGAGGCACAGTTAATAACGCTTTAGTCCCAAACATACCTAAGGCTTCCTCCTCTACTCTTCAATGGGGTTTCAAAAACCAAACCCAAAACAGCTTTAGGGACATGTGCTACAGATAGATGCTTTGTGGAGGGCTCCCACAAATTGCTCTCTTGCACTTATCCTGGAGATGCTAGTGGAGACATGTTACTTTACACATGTACACAATGTGAGAAACAATTGTGTTGTACGACATATTATAGGTACCTACTGGGATTGTTTATAGCTCCCTGCCCTCCACCTGTTACATGAGGGTCAGGCAACTTCTGATCCTCCACGCTTTGGCCTACGACTTGCATTAGCCTTGGCCATCACGGTCAATGGGGAGGGGAGGTGGAAGTTTGTAGGCCCAGCTATCTGAAGGTCCACACATTGCCTAGCCACATGACATGAATGGAGTTTGAGGTGCCTTGGTATGCGGGTCAGAAGATACAGCATCCCAGGCCTTCCTGGTTTCTCTAGATGCCACCTCTTTCCCCCAAGCACCAATTATTTGATTTTCTGGCTTTTGTTCAGTTCCCGCCTCCCAGCTCTAAAAGGCTGTTCAACTCTTGGCATGAAATTTCAGGCAGAGTGCTCCAGGCTAAAGTCATCCAAGCTTGAAGCAACTGCTGAGTCTGGCATTGCAAATCATTGAATAAAGAAAAGGGAGGAAAAACTAACAGAGACAACAAGGAGCCATTTGAAGCAAGATCTTTTTATTCCCTTCCCTCTTCAGAAGAAGGGCCTGGTGTTTGTGCACAACGACGACTTGGAATCTCGGAAGGATGAAACAAGGTTTTGGTTATAAACTGGCGAAGCAAGGAGCAATTCCTGCCACTGGTTTATCTTGGATGACCTCAAGTTGGGTGCCCTTCAGTGGCAAAGGACTACAATTCCCACCATCCCCATGATGGAAAGTGTATCCCAGTGCATCTGGAGAGCCCCAGGTTGGTGAGGGCTAGGTTATCCATTCTCAACAGAGCTTCCATCTCAAGCCGTAAAAAGGGACAGGAGATCTAGAAATGAAAGACAGGCCGTCTGCCATTCCATGGGGAGCAGTGGTTTCTCTCAAGCAGTGGGTGGCACTGATACACGTACACAGCATCCAGGTGCCAGCTTTGATAGGGAAGACCCCCATCTGGCAAACCCAGGGGGCACAAATTCAGTCCATGGGCACGAAGCCGGTGCTTTGGCAAGGAAAGCGTAGATCAATCCTGCCTCCCAATACTGGGGGAAAGGAAAGTCACGGACAAACTGGCTGGAAAAGAGTTAGTGCTGCATGTAAACAGATCCACAGGAATTCCCCCTCACTAATCCCAAGGGCAACCTGCTCCCTCCCACCCCCATAAACACCAGCCTCATTGGCACACACCCTGCCCAGTAAAGTAAGGGGTAGTGTCTCAGGCAGCAGGCAGCGGCACGGCAGAGGGGGCTCAGGAGGGGCAGTGTTACAATCAGGCGGGGGAGAAGGTTAAGGCACAGAGATATGGAAGGGGCTGCCGGGGATGTGCTCATCTCCCCATTTCACCACCAGCACGTAGTCCCCTCGGTCCTTCAGCAGGTAGGTGACGTTGTACAGCCGATTGCCCAGGTGCTTCACCACGATCTCCTCGCAGGGGATCTTGGGACCGTGCACACCCACCAGCAGCATGCTGTTCCCTGCAGAACGAACAAGAGGCAGCATGAGCAGATTGGGAACATTTCAGCTGGAGAGACCAACCAGTGTGCTTGAAGGGGTCAAAGGAATTACACTCTGTACACCTAGAAGATGTCCAAGTCGGCTATTCCAGCTCTCAATTCTTCCTCCCTGAAAGACCAGCTTTCCCTAACCTGGCATCCTCCAGACATTGTAGAGGGAAACTACCAGCATTTCTGACAACTGGGAAAGTTTGCTGGAGATGATGGGTGCCGAAGTCTAATACATTTGGGAGGGCCCCATGTCGGACACACCTTTCACCTCCACACTTCACTATTCTGTAGCCAAGAAAGCTGCTTCCTTCCTCTGAGAGGCAATTTCTTTTTCCCCTCCTTTGCCCCTTTTGGACTCATCGAGACTCCTTGTTTCTATACTTGCAACTTTTTCCACTTCATTGCCATCCTCTTCCCTGCCAGCACTAATAGTTGGCTCATGGCATTGCTGGAGTTGTTACTATTGGGTCTCCAGTCCTGGCACTTTAGGCTGAGCCTCCATATACATGTAAAAATGTTACCCAGAGGCTGCTCTGGCAAAGTAGGGCTAAGTGCAGGCATTGCTAGGTAGATACACCAACACATTTTCTGAAAGAGGCATGGAAAGCCTGTCTGGAGCAGATAAGTATGGGGAGTAGCTTTTGGAAGTTTTCAACCAAGAGGGAGAAGAGAGCAAGTAGACAGCACAGCAGGTGTGCCGGTGGAGGGCAAGTCAAGCTACTCTCATACTCAATTTTTGTTACAAGAATTTTGCTTTTCTACCATATGAGCCACCCCACTGTTTCCCTATCCGCTGTGCCAGCTGTGCTGACCAGCCTTGCCAAAGTTCTCTAGTAAACCTGGTCCTTGCCTTTCCTCTTCGATCAGCATCTGTTAGGCGTATCACTGGATAGACACTGTGCCTCAGCTCCTGGTTCACAAGTAGATGTGATTTAAGTTATCCTCACACCTGCCTCCCCTGAAGACCCTGAACCCCAAAGCATCTTTTGGAGTTACTATACAGCTTTAATCTGGCCAGGGCTTCACAACCAGAATTCTTCTTGCCATTTTGTTCCTTTTTAAAAAGGAAAAATATTGAGTAGGTTATTATTGCTTGTTTGTCCAACATTATCCATGTCTAGGCACTGCTAGATGGAGGGCTCCCAGTGCGACCATTCAGAAAGCCTTGTGTAGCTATCCTGCCATTTTCTCCCTAATGGAGCTTCTACAGAAGGAGGTGGGGGTGGGGAGGATCTCTTGAATGAGACAAGGCAATGGAGAAAGTAAAGACTCCCCTGGCAGCACCCAAAGCCTCCACGATAGAGTGCTGCTGACACTGCGTTTAAATGCAGAAAACTAATCTGATTCACCAAGTCAGGGGTGGGCAGCTTGTGACTCTCCAGCTGTTTTGCCTTGTAATGCCCATGATCTCTCAGGACTGCTTATATGAACTGTAGGCCCAACTCTGAGCTCAGCAGTTCCACTCCCTTTTCCATTTTGCAATGAACGCTTTGCTTAATTCGGCTTTTAGACGATCACTGCAGAGTACAAGGATCATGGCTTCCGCATTCTAAAGATGCTTAACACAGCAGGTAAGCAAATGTCTTACTGAAGCCATTTTTTCTGAACAGCTCCCTCCCAGAACCAATCACACCTACCTGCTTTGCTGCAATCTACTGTGAAGGAGTTCTTTTGCCCTACAAAGCCCTTGCTGAGGCCCAGCCCTTTGGCTACCACTTTGCTAGCATCTGAAGCAAACTTGGGTGGTGCTGCTCCATCAGGTTTGGCCACCCCATCCATGAAGACTGAGGATGTCTCGTGGAGGCTGTGACTGGAGACAAGTCGAGCACCTGCCGGGAGGAAGGAAAGAAGGGAGCAAAGGTGATTACACGAGCACTGGCAACGCAGAGCCACACCAGGGCAATGCCCCATTTGCTTGCGCACCTGCACCTGCAGCCACATTTCAGTGCCAGCAAGCTTGAGGCTACGGCCGTTGTCACAACAAACCAAAGCAGCTGATGCTCCTGGACCCTGGAAGATGACCCTTTTTCCCAGAGCAGACATTCCCAGCCTGCTGCCCTCCATGTATTTTACACTTCAACCCCCATCAGCCCTGACCATTCCTGGGCAATGGTCACAGAAATGCTGGGAGTTGTACACCTGGGGGCACCAAGAAGGGAAGGCTGTCTTAGACCACATTTCCCATGTCTAAGTCAGGTACTCTTTCATTCCACCACTCCACACAGTGGTTGTTCACCTGTGATTTTGGCCTTGAAAGGGCTGCCAGCAATATGGTATGGACCGCCATACTTAATGGAGATGAGGTAGCTGCCAGGAGCCATGGGTGTGTAGATGACTTTGTAGCCCTCCGGGCACTCTTGACAATCCATCTTCACTTTGGAGGGTCCATCAATGGTGACGGCCAGTGCCCCAGGACCAGCACTTGTGGTGTTGACTACAAATTCGGCAGGGCTTCCTACAGAAGAGAAGGAGAGAAAGAGTGAGCGAGCAGGGGGGAGGGAGGCTTTCCAACCTTCTTGAGAACTTCCCATTCCACCCCCTCCCAGCATTTTCTCCAAGATCTGTGATTACCTGTCACACCACCTTCTAAGCCAGGCCCATAGGCAGACACCATCCCTGGGTCTCCCGCTTGGCCCAGTTCCCCAACACGAATCTTGAAGGGGCTGCCTGGAATGTGGCTGCCGTTGAACTTGACATCCACAGAGTAGATGCCATTCTCACGAGGGATGAAGCGCACGGCATATTTATCTGTGGCAGAACAAGTCAGGGCACAGACAGGTTTTAAAAAGCAGCTGACAGAAATCTGTGAATTTATGTGTATAATTATGTATGCATTCAAAGAGAGAAAGGAGGCTTAACCTTTCCCATTTTTTCTGTCTAAAGTTACAAGGGTTTCCACTTAAGACCTTATAATATGTCCAGTATATTAAGTCAAATGTATCCAATAACAAAGGAAAACTACTCAGGCCTGGTGAATGTAAGACATGCTTAAAATGCTGGCTTAAAACAAGGGAGTAAAATAGATAAAACAGACCTGTGTAAAGCAAGCCCAGGTTTCAAGAAGAATATATAAAGCTGGGTTGGATATTTCATTTAGAGTGAAAGTTTTTTGCAGGTGGGGATGCCAACTTCTCCATTATTTGGTTCACATGCAATGGCAGCAAATTAACCCACCATTTGCCATAATGCATGCTGGGCACAGGTTGCAGTCATTTTTAGATGCAGATTAAACAAGTAGATTGGCTAACTGTGGGTTGTCTAATCTATGATTAACCTATAATGTTTGCTAGCAACACTCCTGATCAATCCATATAGCATGTCCAGTATGTGCTGTGCAAATTGTGGGTTAATTAAACCACAATTTGCTGCCATTCCATGTGAACAGTTTCTGTGCCCCTTGTCCTCTTGCAGTGTACCTACTGCTTCCCCAGCATGTTTCTATTAGCCAGACTCATTTTGGTATTAGAGAATCGCTGGAGAAGAAAGAGCTGGCGGGGAGTATGCAGCTTCACTTGCTCTCTTCTCTAAAAGACAGTCTCACTTTATAGGCAAGCAAAGCAGGCCTAGATTTAAAACTAGAACTAGTAGGTTGGCTGGCAGGATTGTTAGTTCAGGCCCACATGGGAGTGCCTACAGAATGGGCTGCATTCTGCCCTGTTCTCCACAGAATCTGCCAGAGCCCCCTGAATTCAAGTCTGCTGGATGTAGATTTGAGTGAGGGACTGGGATGAAAGACACTTCACAAGATGTGCAGGGCCCAAGCCCACTTCACAGCCCAGCTTGATAGGTGGCCCATATCTCTACAGGCTTTGCACCAAAGCAATACTTGGCCAGTTTTGCTGCTTTTCCAATGTTTGCTGTGGCTCTCATTACAAAAGAAGAATTGTACCAGATGGCAGGTTCTGCACTGTCAGTGCAGCTCCCAGGTCTGATGGCAGGAGGCCGCCCTGGAGGCGGCAGTGAGAGCTATTTGCTGCAGGCTCCCTCACTGAAGCAAGGATGCATCAGATGCCTCCACAGGAAACCAATTGTGCAGACTAACCCACAGCTAATACTGTGAATTTGCACCAGCTCAAATGGTTGCCTAAACTGTAACTTAGAAAGACTGAGGGGGTGGGGAGACAGCATTTGGCAACACTGCAACCAATTAAAATGGGGCAAGGAGGAGGAGATGTGCAGCCTGTCTTGGACAGCTAAGACACCTGTATCTCCTTTCACTTTCAGCCCAAATTCCCTGAACAGAGGTGTGCCAGGGAGAGGCCTAGAAGGAGCAGGAAGTAGCTAGGCGCCAAGAATTTGGGTTTTTTTTTAACTGATCTTGGGACAATGTCTGCCTCTCCCATTTCCTTTTCTGGTTTGTCTACTGAATCAGCAGCTGTAGATTGGTGGGGATAAACCTGACAGACAGAGAGACCTTTCCTGTTGGCACACTTAGGGTAGGCCTGCAGCTCCCTGCTGTTTCAAGGGAACCTGAGGAATGCAGTTTGAAGGAACAGGTCCTAGGAACACCCTTGTGTGGTTCTTTCAAGTGCCGTGTTGGCAACATGGCATCACACTTCAAAAGCATCTGTCAAGATGAACCGGTGCAACTGGGGAAGCACCCATAAATGGATTTTAGAGTTCTGGATTCTGTTTGTAAGGGGTGACTGTCCCTCTGGCTTGGCAGAGTCAATCTGTATGTTCTGGAATGGGTTACATTACTTTAAAGCACTGAGTCTGCACTTTGGGCACACATACGGCCTCTGTTTTGCTCTTGGGTAAGCAGATTATGTTGTGGTCAGGAGTGGCTTTTAACAGGGTTTACAGCCATTTTTCTACAAAGACCTGGCCATTGTCATCCATGCTGTGGCAGCCTCACTGACTGCTTTTCTGGAATCCTTCAGATATATTGGGCTACAAATCCTATCATCCCCAGCCACTATGACCAATGGGAATTGTAGTACAAAACATTCGGAAAGCAATCGGTTGGGGATGGCTAGACTACCATACTGCACTGTATATGGAAAATACTCATTCTCAGTAGTAAATACAATACACCATATAAAATAGCACATTCTCCTTATTTTTTAATTAAGAAGACAGTGTAAGTTTAATACTATTTCTGCCTCAGATTATAAAACATCAGCAACTTAGTCTTTCACCAATCCCATTTTTTCCCCAGATAAGGAACAGGGCACCTTTCACTGGAATCACAAAACCCCTCCATTCTGCCCTTGCCAGAAAGAAGGTATGTGCCCCCACCCCAGAATTCATTATGGGGATGGAGAAAACGAAAGAGAGACTCGGCAGTCTTACCCTCTCCTCTACAGGTGGGAGGGGAGGTGGATGATGGGAGGGAGGATCCCCGCCTCAGGGCAAGTCCAACTGGCTGCGCAGTTAGCGGTGTGGCCCTGTGCTGCCGGGGTAGGCAGCGCTGGAGCTCCTTACCTTCATCGATTTCGGTGACATGGCATTCCTCCAGGGCCCCTGAGGGGCTGTGCACCTTGGCATCAATCACACCCTTGGCCCCGTTCAAGCTGACGGCGAACGAGGCTGGCTGGTTCACTTTTAACCCTGACTCCTGGAAGCACAGAGCGCGTTAGGCAGCCGAAAGGAGCACAGAGGGGACATGGCATCAAGCGCCTCCCGCTGCTCCCCCCATGCATCCATGAGTGCCGCTCACTTACCTGAGCCGAGTGGCTTAGAGAGGGAGAGCTGCCCCGGGGAAAGTGGCATTAGTGCAAGAGGCAAGCAGGCAAGCTGACAGGGGTTGTTTAGGCTAGCACCCTGGGAAAGAGGGAGCTCAGGCAGTCCCCCACGGGGGCAGCAAGATTGGCAGAGGCGTGCCCAGGGAAGCTCTCCATCTTTAAGCCCCAGCAATGGGGCCCATGACTGTTAGCAGCCTTTAAACGAGACACGAGAAAAACCCCAGAGCAGATCCCTGTGTGGCCAGCGGAGTTGGCACCGTGACTGTTCTGAGGCTGGCACAAGGCCACTGCAGCACTGATGCTTAATTCCTCTTCCCCCTTGACCAGATGCCTGCCCGCCCACTCTTCGAAGGGCACATTCTCCTCCAGGCATGAGTCCCACCCACCAGGATCCAAGCCCAGGGCTCTCTCTCAAGAAACTGCCAACCCAGGAGAGCAACAGTGCCAACTCAGTCTAACCAGCAGGGGGAGCAAGGGGGCGGTTTCTCCCAGTGCCTCACCTGAAGACTAGAAACAGTGAGGCGGCGGGCATCGTCGGAGGTGGAGGTGGCTGGGACAATGAAGGGACTGTCTGGGATGTGCTCATCATTGAACTTCACAGAAACCTCATAGTCGCCTGTCAGGGAAGAGAAACACAGGAAAGGGCCAGAAATCAGACTGAATCGCTCTGGCGGTATGCATATTATGGAAGATGCATTACAGGAAATGTCTAATTTGGCCATTAATGAAGTACAGAATTCAGCAATGAATGGGTGAATCTAAGCCACTGTGTGAAATCCATTTTGGGGAGAGAGTTAAAAAAAAATACAGGCACTGCTTTAAGGGATTTAGCAATTAAGGAACACCACAAATGTTTAACAATAATAAAATAGTGGTGTTGCTTTTGTCTCTAAATGGCAATATATTTTTAACAGCAGTTGAGAAATATTTGAATAAAATAGAAGCCTACAAATCCTGTAGGAGGGAGATGTTGCTGCCAGAAATTCTTCATTCTTTGGGCAGATGGCTCTCCATATGGAGCAATTGCCACATAGTTATTCTCTGACAGATCTGGATACACAAGACACAGTAGCATTTATAGTATCTGAACAGTTTGCCTGAGATTATGTATTTTGACTACTTCCAAAAAACAAAAAATGGAAAAATATTTAAGATCAGTTTCCTATTTGAGAGACACTTTTTGAAGTTTTACTAAAACTTCCAATAATTTACAACTCCCATAAGAACATAAAAAGAGCTGGTGCTAGATGAGACCAAGGTCCATCTGTTTGAGCATTCTGTTCACACAGTGGCTAGCCCATGAGAACTCTCAAGCAGGGCCCAAGTGCCACAGCACCCTCCCACCCATGCTCCCCAGCAACATATACAGATGCAGTGCCTCTGATACTGGAGGTAGGATATTTAAATCAGGAGTAGCAGCTATGGATAGCCTTTTCCTCCATGAACTTGTCCAATCTCACCCATTTTAAAGCTGTCCAAATTGGGGGTGGGGTGGGGGGAAGGGTCACTGCTTCCCATGGAATTGAATGTCATAGGTCAGCTACGTACTATGTGAGGAAGAATGTCTTTTTATCTGTCCTGAATCTCCCACCAACCAGCTTCAGGAAATGACCTCACTGGATTCCAGTGTTAGGGAATGGAAGAACAGCACCTCTTTTATCCACTTTCTCCATGCCATACGTATTTCTCTCCACTCCTGTCTCCCCTTACTCACCATTTTTCTAAGCTAAGCAATCCTGGCTGTTGTAACCTTTTCTCATAGAATACTTGTTCCAGCCCCTTGGTCACCTCAGTTGCCTTTTTCTGCACCTTTCCCCAACTTTAAAATGTTATGCTTTAGATGCAGTGAGCAAAACTGTACACAGTATATCAAGTGTGGTTGCACCACCATAGATTTGTATCAGGGGAATATGTCCCCACATGCAGCTTTGCAGGAGCAACCCCCTCCCTGCCCGTTTTAATAAAAGCAATTTGGGAACAACCAGCTTGGATTGCCTTCCCTGTGTGCAAACTGTGGAGATAGCAGATTATCCACTGTTCATTCCAGATGGCTGCCCCAAAGCTCTGCCTGCCTGCTCAGCAAACTCTTTACAATGCTGGATCTGTTCCAAGTGATTGGCAACCTGCTGTCACTTGGATTCCAAAGGCTGGAATCTGCCATGCAGATTTACCAGGCAGCTTCCCAGAACCAGCGCCAAGGGAAGGAAGTAGAAGCAGTCCTGAAATCTGACCCTGGAGCTACTCCAGCATCTGCCCTTGGAATATGCTCCCATTTTTAAGACTGCTACATCTGACCACATCTGTTCAGTGCTAAACAGCAGGTTGCTTACCTGTAACTGTTGTTCTTTGAGTGGTCATCCATGCATTCACACATTATGGGTGCTGCGCCTGCGCACTGCCTGTTGCCAGGAAGATTTAATAGCTCTAACGGTTTTTGGTGGGAACTCCACACTCTCTTCCCCACCATAGTATAAATGGGTGGAGTGCCCGCCCTTTCCCCAGTCAGCTGAAGACCATTTGTTCACCCCCAAGTGGACAGTTGGTATTGAATCCGGCTCACAGAGGAAAGCAAGATATATATCTATATATACAGTCACGTAAACATATATATAAGTATAGTATACCCAGTCACCAACACCGAGTGGGGCCAGCGGGCAGGTAGTGTGAATGCACAGATGACCAATCGAAGAACGGCAGTTACAGGTAAGCAACCTGCCTTTCTTCATCATGGCCTCCATGTATCACACATTATGGGTGATAAGTAAGCTTACCACACCCGGATGCGGGTTGGTGTCATCAATGGATAACTGTAGAGAAGATGGCGCGAAGGAACAGTCCTGCTTGGCCTTGACGTCCAAGCGTAGTGCTTCATGAAAGTGCACAGGTAGACCATGTGGCCGCTTTACAGGTATCTTGTAAGGGGATACCTGCCCAGAGGGCAGAAGAAGCAGCGACAGCTCTTGTGGAATGGATCGTCAAAATGATGGAATTAGCCTATCGCCTTTCCAAACTGGACATTCCTTTTGAAGTAACAGGCAAGTCCAGTTTGGAAAGGCGATAGGCTAATTCCATCATTTTGACGATCCATTTCGGAACACACTCTCAGTACTTTCGAGTATTTGATGAAAAGTCGTTTGGTTTTCCTAAATTTCTCAGTTCGGGATCGATAGAAGGCTAAACAGTGCTAGACATTCAGTCTATGTAAGGAGTGCTCGATTGGTGTCGATAGAGCAGGGAAACAAGCCGGTAGCACAATGTCCTGGTTAAGGTGAAATGGAGTAGCAACCTTGGGTAGGAAAGTTGGATCGGTCCCTAGAACCACTTTCTCCTTATGGAAGTTTAGGTATGGAATGTCAACGCGAAGGGCACACAGTTCCCTGGCTCTTCTAGCTGAAGTAATTGCTACTAAAAAGCTGTTTTCCAAGTGAAAAGGTGTAGATTCGTTGTGGTTAGTGGTTCAAACAGAGGCTTTGTGAGAGCCTGTAGGACAACAGAGAAGTTCCATGTTGGAACTACCAATTGGGTCGGTGGTTGAAGATTTTTTAGTTCATGTAGGAATCGACACACAAGGTAATTGTGAGAAAACAGACGAACCTCCAATGTATCCTCGGTGATGTGAGATAGCTGCAATATACACCTTAATGGAGGAAGGTTTAAGACTCCCATGGTGTAACGAGAGTAAAAATTGTAGGATGTTCTCGATGGTAGCAGAGTGAGGTAGAAATTGATTGGCAGCAGCAAAGGAGGTGAAGCGCTTCCATTGGGCATTATAGGAGCCCCGTGAGGTCGGACATAGCGCAGATTGGAGAATAAACTGTATCAGGATGAAAATTGGTCGGGTCCAAGGAAGACGTTGGTACTGGTGTCAATACTGAAGGCAATATTGACTTCAGAGAAGGCTCTGATGCTGTAGATATGGCTGTAGAAGAAGCAGGCGTCAATCCCGAAGATGGTACATGTATCGAATCCAAAGAAATTGTCACTATTGATGCCTGTTCATTGAAAGAATCAATGAATGAGCCAGGCAGTGAGGTTCAGAGATTGTAGGTTCAGATGTTGTATGGCACCGTGTTCCTGAGTGAGAAGATGAGGAACTTGAAGTAGATGAAAAAAATGGTTGCATGAAAGTTGGAGAAGAGTGGGAAACCATGACTGTCGGGGCCACCAAGGGGTGATGAGGATTCTGTGAATGTCATCCTGTTGGATTTTGGCTATGGTTCTCATACTAACAGTATTTGTGGGAAGGCGTAGAAGAATTTGTTCTCCCACAATACTGTGAGTGCATCCCCGATTGAATTTGGGCCAATGCTTGCTTGGGAGCAGTATGTCGTGCAGACGGAGTTGCCGTGGGTCGCAAACAAGCCTATGTCTGGTGTTTCCCAAAGCTGAAACAGGTGTAGACAGACTCGACGATCTAGTTCCCACTCGTGAGTCGTCAACATGTGTCTGCTGAGTGAGTCGGCTTCCTCGTTGTCAGTGCCTGCTAGATGTACAGCTCGAGGAGTAATCCTGTGGGCAATGCACCAGTTCCACATGCGAAGGGTGAGATGCACCAACAGTACTGACTTTGTACTGTCCTGTTTGTTTAGGTAGAACATAGTCATTACATTGTCCAATGCTATCTGGACCATGTGGTTTTGAAGGATGGGTCGGAAGGAATGTAGTACTTTGAAAACCACCAGCAATTCCAGGTAGTTGATATGCCTGGTGGTCTCGTGTCCGTGCCAGGTGCCTTGAGTCCGAAGAGACATGTAGTGGGTACCCCATCCAGTCAGGGAAGTGTTGGTATAAAGAGTCATGGCCGGTTCTGGTGTATGGAATGGAACTCCACAGGAGAGATTGGTATCAATCGACCACCCCAGACAAGGTGTGGAAGACCAAGTGCGGAGGTTGTAGTAGGCAGTTGGGTCGATCACAGTCCGGGTGGAAATTGCGATTGAACCAGAGTTGCAAAGGTCTTATTCTTAGTCTCACATTCAGCACCATCAAAATCGTGGACACCATATGACTGAGCACTTGTTGTATCGAGTGTACAGGGACAGTCCAGCAGGTGGTGATCTGCTGGATGGGAAAAATCAGTCTCTCTTGTCAATCCCAAGGAAGGAAGGTTCGTGTGCATAAAGAGTCCAGATGTGCTCCGATTGAACTGATGACCTGAGAAGGAATAAGGTGATTTTTCACTATTAATTCAGAGGCCAAGACGATCAAGGAGGGAGCAGGTAGTCTTGATGGAGGCCAAAAGTTCATTGCTGGAGGAGGAGACGATAAACACGTCATCCAGGTATGGACAGATGTGGATGCCCTGAAGCCGGAGATAGGCACAAATGGAAGCCATACACTTAGTGAATACTCTTGGAGTGGTAGCAAGACCGAAAGGGAGCACATTATATTCAAAGACACTGGTACTGACAGTGAACCGAAGGAGGCGCCTGTGAGCAGGATGGATGCTGATGTGGAAGTAAGCATCTTTCAAGTCCAGGGATGCAAACCAATCCTCTTTCCTGAGCAATGAAAGTATATTCTGGAGTGTGGTCATTCTGAATTTTTCTGTTTTAATATATTTATTGACCCCACGCAAGTCCAAAATCAGGCATAGTCCACCATCTTGTTTCGGTACCGTAAAGTACCTGGATAGAAACCATGCAGTCCTTTGGACCGATCGAGTTTATGAATTGCTCCCTTACGAAGCAGCTCAGTGACTTCTTCCCAGAGTGCTGGGGAGGCTGCTGTATAACGGATTAGGACAGCAGGCGGCACGGTCTCAAAAGCGATTTTGTATCCATGCTCTAAGATAGTAAGAACCCATCTGTCAGATGTGATGGACTCCCAGATGGGGAGTCAGTATTGCAGCTGATCCCCAAAAGGAAGAGTGGAAGATGGATTGAGGGAATGAGGAATGGTTTGCGCAACACATCAGCATGGATGCTTGTCTGCAGCTTGTCGGCACCTGGGTTGCTGATATCAAGCCACATTTTGCCTTTGATTGCGCTGCTGTATTTGGCCATATTGTTGACGTCCAGATGGGTACAGATGCTGGTGGAGCTGTTACCAGTATTGCGATCTGTTCCATGGCCACTTATGTCTTTGTTGGGACAGAGTTTCCATGTGACGTGTGGTGAGACGAGCTTCCTGGATGTTCTCAAGCTTGTCATCTGTTTTCACATTGAACATATCCATATGGGGGAACAGTAATCCCATGGATAAGGCCGATCAAAGCGGTCAGGATTGAATTCCCCATAAGGGAGAGGAACCCAGTACCACGAAGGTTGTAGAGCGGAAGACTGGGATGGTAAGAGGGACAACAGGTGTTGGGGTGCCCTTGGAAATCCCTCTGGAGATGACTGAGCCGCAGGCGTAGGTGTTGGCGATCTTGCAGGTGGACCTTCAGTTCCCGGCTGGAGAGGAGATTTATGGATTTCTCCATCGGAGATCGAACCTCTCGCCAAAGGATTAGGACTGAAGCACGGCGAAGCTGTAATCTGTGGGGGTGACGATGGAGGTGTCACCTGCATAATGGACTGGTGGCTTGGAGTTTTGGCCAGGACCGAGACTGGAACCAAGATTGGTGTGATGGCTGGCTCCAAGCGAGGCACCTTGTCATGCTTCTTGTGCCAGCACTCGGATTTGTTGGGCTTGTCCTGACGGCATTTGGGCTTCAATAACTCCTCGGACCCTACATGCTTCCTCTTCTCCTTATGTTTGCAGGGAGAATTAGAGGAGCGCTTTCCATCTTTGCCCACAGAATACCCTTCAGATGGATGAACGGGGATGGATTTTGGCGGTCCCGAAGCCGCAAAAGAGCTGGCCTCAGCCGAGACCTGCTTCATGGTGACCAGTGCTAGGTCTCATAACATTTTTTGCAGCCTGTTCTCGCAATTTTTGCGAGCCTGCCTGGTAAACGACTGGCAGTGGCTGCATTTATCGGTCTTCTGCCCTTCTCTGAGGCAGAGAAGGCACAGATCATGAGAGTCAGTGGAAGACATCTTGGCTCCACACTGAGAGCACTTACGGAAGGCTGCCCGTTGTGCCATTGAGGAAGAAAAAGGAGGAGAAAACACAGTGAGTGGAAAGAGTTTGTTGGAGGAGAAAAGTTTAAAAGTTTACAATCTAGAAGCACAAGCAGAGAGCAAAAAAGGCCCGAGGCACCGGCGAACAGTGGTTGCAAGCAGACGGGGGGGGGGGGGGGGGGCAGACACCCCATCCATTTATACTATGGTGGGGGAGGGTGCAGAGTTCCTGCCAAAAACCGTTAAAGCTATTAAATCATCCCAGCAACAGGCACTGTGCAGGTGCAGCACCCATAATGTGTGATGCATGGAGACCACGATGAAAAACTACAGTTCGTCCTGTGCACATCATGGTCCAAGGTCCAATTAAGAACATGAGACAACCCACAACAAGAAGCAGTAGGACTTTCCTCTGGGAGCCCAGTTTCCCCAGTCATCTAATTTCCCTCTTCAACATCTGTGCATTTTTCCTGGCTCTTATCCCTCTGTTTCCAAACATCCCAAGGTCCCTGCCCCTTCAAGCTCCTTGTCCTGGCCCTTAAACATCTGCAGGGGTAGTTCTGATCTTCCGATAAAATATAATTGGAAGGCCCTCTTCCCCAACCTGGACAGGGCTGCACTCCCTCTAAAGGACAGGGTCTGCAGCTTGGGAGTGCTCCTCGACCCGGAGCTGTCCTTGGAAGCCCAAGTGACAGTGGTGGCGAGGAGCGCTTTCCTTCAGCTTCAGCTAATCCATCAGCTGCGTCCCTACCTGGAGGAAGATTGCCTAGCAACAGTGACACATGCACTGGTTACTTCCTGGTTGGATTTCTATAACATGCTTTACGTGGGGCTGCCCTTGAAGACAGTCCAGATACCTCAGATGGTGCAAAATAGAGCTGCCAGGATGTTGACGGGGACTGGGCGATATTCTCATTTAACCCCAGCTCTCTATCAGCTCCACTGGCTTCCCATCGAAGTCCGGGCTCAATTCAAGGTGCTGGTTATTACCTATAAAGCCCTTAATGGCTTGTGGCCTGGATACCTAAAGAAACGCCTTCTTCCCTATTTGCCCTCCCGCCCCCTGAGATCGGCAGCAGAAGCCCTCCTCTGGGAACCCTCTGTGGAAGATATTAGGAGGCAGAGTACCTGGAAGAGAGCCTTCCCTGTGGTGGCGCCCCATCTATGGAATGTGCTTCCCAGAGAGGTCTGCCTGGCGCAGTCATTATGTTTTTCGGTGCCAGGTTAAGACCTTTTTATTTCATCAATATTTTAATACCCTTTAATACTGTATTTTTAGTATTATATTTTTAACTGCAGCCAGAGTGGGTCAATTTGTTTATGTTGATTTTTATGTTGATATTCTGTCATAATTTATTTATACTGATATTTGTATTTTGTTTATGTAAGCAGTCCTGAGGCTTTTGCAATAGGACGGCATATAAATATCACAAATAAATAAATAATCCTGGTGACTGCAAATTCCGTCATGTCCAGCCCACCTATGTGGGAGATGCTGCAGTCAGGTAGCAGGAAGCTCATTTCAGGTCTTTGCCACAAAGCAGTGGTGGCATGTCTCCTGCCCTCCACTGGGCTCTGTCAAAAGCTCTTCCTGGTTCTCATCTCTCCAGCTTCTCTGTTGGCTACATGGAACAGAACTACTTGAACTTCCGATGGCTTCTCCATCAGAGATGATTCATTAAGTGTTTTGGGAAACTGGCAGCCCCTTTGATATTGCTGGACTCCCAGCTGTATCCCTGTGCACAGGGTCAGGGAAGGCCTAGAAAAATGGGCAAAGATAATGGGAGATTTCAGGCCACTAGCTAAGGGAATGCTGGGAGTTGCAGACTTAAAATATGGATAGGCCTGCACCTTTCCATATAGCAACACCTAGAGGTTTCCCATCTCAGTCCTGAAGTATGTTTCTCCACCTCCTGTCTTGCTGGTCACCATTTAACAGAGGAAGTCATCACCATATACTGAATGCAGCAGAGAGCAACGTTTTAACCTCTCACTCACACCTCATCTTCTGCTGAAGTTAGAGCACTTGCCTCCACCACTCCTACAACCTGCTTTCACCCTTCCCTCCTTCTCCATGGCTGCTGTTAAAAAACATGCAGCTGTGCTGCAATTTTCTGCAGTTGGAAGGGCGCATATTCCCCCCCTCCCCGCCACTTACCAGGCTCTTGCACAATGTAGGAAACACCACATGATCCATCTTTCCGGTCCTCAAAAGCAATTTCTGCTTTACTGGGGCCTTCCACAGCAATGGAAAGGCCGCCAGCACCTGCCTCCCGTGTCCAAATACTAAACTCAGCTGGGAAACAAAGAAAGCAAACAATCCTATTAGCCACACCTGCAATCACATTTCTTCCTAGGCTAAGGAAAGTCCTTTTAAACTGAGGGGTGGAGGTACCCTTGTCAGGACAAAGACTTCACCCAGCAATATTCTGGACCTCCTTGCTAGAGGAGAGTTCGCTGCAGTAATGGCTCTACAGGGGATCCGGACCTCTTTTGGCTGGGGGCTGAATTTGATTTCTGATAATTTCTCAGAAGCTGTATTCCAGTGATGAGTAAAGGCAAAAGCAAGAGGTGGAGCTCAAATGTCAGTATATATGAGCTAAAAACTCTTACTCTGCCACTATGGAACAGCCATAGACGTAGTATCTTGGGAAATCTGTTCTCAGTTTGCTCTATAATAGCCATATGAACCACCCATATCTATGAACTCTTTACAGAATAGGTGTAGGAGATTACAGGGAAAAGGTTTGGTAAGAGTTAGGTGCGAGGGTGATGAATTGTCTTCTGATCACTGGGGTGGGGCACAACACTGAGACCCTCGTGGTACTGGCTCCCTCCTCCTTCTCATCCGAAAGTCCAACCATATTATAATCTGCCTCAAGGTTTCTAGGGGTCAGTGCTGAGTAGATTTCAGTTTTCAGGACCTACTTTGTGCTTCCAGTACGCAGGCCTACCTGGCACGCCGGCTTCAGCCCTTTCCAAGCCTGGGCCACCTGCCCGCACCTTATGTGCTCCCCCCTCGCCAAGTGGGCCCACAGTAAACTGGAAGGGACTTCCAGGAACATGCTGCCCTTTGTATTTGACGCTGACTGAGTGGATGCCCGTCTCCGTAGGTACAAAGCGGATGCAGTACGTGTTGTTCTCCGCCTCCAAGATCTCCGCATCATGGGACTTGCCGGAGGGGCTGGTCACCTGAGCAGTCATGTCTCTGATGTTGATTTCTGGAGGACACAGGGCAGCAATTGGATGGATTAGATGGCTATGGAAAATCATGACTGCCCTGCCACAAGAACTCAGGACGCTGACATGCCAGATCATGGGTCCACCTCTGCCCAGTACTATCAACAGTGATCAACAGCCTGGGCTCTCTGCAGTTTCAGGCAGGAGTTTCTCCAGCCCTACCTGGAAATGTTGGGAATTGGACTTGAGGCTTTCTTCTGGCAAAGCAGGTGTTCTACCATGAAACTGCAGCCACTTCACCTATTTCACTCCTCCCCTGCCATCTACTAGCATGTCTTTCTTAGATACCACAAGCTGCACGGAGCCTAGCTCAGCAACAGCTTAGCAGATATTCAGCTGGGGGCAGGTTGAGTGAAAGCTAGCCCAGTTTTCCGCTCACCCCCATCCCATTTCCAGAAATTCTTTTTTCATGATGTTTCTGTCTGAATGCTAAAATCTAGATCTGGTATGTCCCTAAAGTCTCATTTCTGTTAAACTTAAAATTTGTACGAAACCAATTCTCCTGTAATCACATTGCTCAAAGTAGCGCCAGGAAGAATCCTCAAGCCACGCAGAGCAATTATTTCAGCTACTAGGGCTGCTTTCCACAGTAAGCTCAGTATTGAGCCAAGACCCCATATAGCCTGGAGTGTTTCACCAAACAATCCAATTTCACAGTTCTTCGACATGATAAATACCTTTACTAGTAAACACCACCCATTATACAGCACTTTGGGAGATGGGGGGGGGGGTGTTGAAGATTGCAAGCTTCCCAAAGACTTCTCCTCAAATGTTAGATTTGGTGGTCTTTTTGCATATTGGAAGCATACACAGAATTTCCCCAATATTTCCAAGAAGATCTGTGTATATTAGGGCTTGGGCGTAAAAACCTAGCACCTTCCAGACATTTTAGGACAACTCACATCAAATGCAGCCATGGTGGCTTGAGGAAATGGGAACTGTAGTCCAAAACTTATGTAAGGTGCCAGATTCTAGGAAGGCTGTCCTAGCAATGTACAGCATTACCATTTATATTGCATTTATACCCCACCTTTGTTTTTAGTGTTGAGTAGACATGTGGAGACTGCTTCCATTTCAATATAAATGCAATGAACTAATAATGTAATAAAAACCCTGCCCTGTTTTAGAGAAAGTGTTTACCACAACTTTGATGAATGTCTAGAAGAACTCCCAGATGAATATTCCTGTCTTGCACCCAGGTCTTTTTCATGAGTTGCTAATAGCCACTTGTACCAAGTTGTCTCTGTGCCATGAGGAATACCCACATTTAACTGGAAGAGACTCTGCCACTATTCTCTTCCTGAAATTACTTGGGAAGGTTTGAACACATCATTTTTCTACTTTTGCCTGTTTCAAAAGCTGGAGAGAGGCAACATGTAATCTGAGGGCTAAAACCAACCCTTAATAAAAGTGTGGGTCACAGTTCTATAAATAGGAATGCTGAAGAGAGAGCATGTGGTTGTTAAGTACTGCTCCTTTACTCTGCTCATATACATGTTCCCAAGTTGCTCCTCTGAGGAAGGGGAAGGATCAGGCACTCACTTGAAAGGAATGGCCCAAAACTGGGCACTTACTTCCATGCAACACCAGGCACCAAATCCCACCAGGAACCAAATCTCTTTGCCTTGCAAGAGTGTGGACACGCAGAGCTGCCCCAGCCCGGCCTTTGTCCATTCAACGCCAGGGTGGGAAGCATCTTTTGCCCCAAAGACACACCCTCTAAGGGATGCCCTCAGCTGCCACCTTTTGGGGGACCAGATTGGGCCAGAAGTAGCTGCCGTCGCCACTGCCAGCATAGCTGAAAGCACTTAGTGCCGTTAACTAAGGGCTTGGAGACATTTCAAATGTCATTTCAAAATGGAGGAAAATGCACAGAAACTGGGGAATGACCAGAAAAGTTGGGAAACCACCACACTGTATCTGTGTTTGAACAGACTGATGCAAGGGGAAGGGGCATTCCCAGAGCACCAGACTGGGACCCTCTGATGGTCAGAGTTGGTAGGGGAGATTTACTGCAACATCGGGTGTTCATGCAATAGCTCTCCGGAGCAAGGACTGCTGGATTAATCTGCCCCCAAACTGCTGCTCTGCCTGTCAGACTGTCTGTCCATCTTGCTCTGCACTGCTGATGTACTGACTGGGGGCAACTCTGCAGGCTTTCAGGCAGGACTGTTCCCAGCCCTGTGTGGGAGGATGCTGAAAGCTTCAGCATGAGGAGCAAGTGCTCTGCTCCTGAACTGTGACCCCTTCTGTCCTGCAAGCCACTCACCTGGAATTTTCAGACTAAGGTCGCACTCGCTGCCAATATTAGCAACCGAAGGAGCTTTGCGGCGCCGTGTGATCATCTGCTTCATTCGCCCCTCTCCTGTCACCTTCACGGAGAATGGGCTCCCTGAACCAGTGAAATGTGACAAGAAGGAAGCAAGGCTTCCATGTTAGAGCAGCAGAAGCAAAGCTCCTCATGACAGATACTTTTCAGCCACACAGGATTCTGAGGGGCTCAGCCCCATACCTCATCTTCCCTTTTGGGGTGAGAAAAGTGGTAAAAGAGGACTAGTATATCAAGGAGAAGGCCTTCGAGGAGGCATTAACTCTCCTGAAACAGGTTTTGCATTTTAATCAATACCTCTTGATCCAGTTTAGCAAGAGCTTTTTCTCCCCCACATTAGATCTCATTAACAAAATTACATGGTGAACTTGTCACACTAACATTCCAAACTGGAGGTGGAGGATTGAATAGCTGAATATTCTTCAAGTCCATATAATGAACTAGGGAAAGCCTACATTTATCTGTTTGTTTATAATTTCCATGTGTATGCCACCACAATGAGCTCCTGAGCAGCTTACAATGATTAAACAATGTAACATAGTGTGCTGCCTTTCAGAGTTTACAAAAAGGGTGTATCCAGACCATCTTCTGGCAGAAATCCAGAACGCTATGGTGTGCCTTTCTGCTGGTCATGGAGCTTTCAGGGCCACATAAACATAAGACAAGATGTACATCTTGAGGGTGATGACCTCTCCCCTATCAAGCATTCACAACTTTTTGCTTAACCCAGGAGCAGGCACTGGAAGATTAACTTTTTAGCCACTGTGGCTGCTAGAACTGCAAAGTGGTCTGAGATGGCACGGACATCTCTAGATGCTTCAGATTTCAACTCCCAGCATTGCTGATCTTTGACCAAGTTGACCAGGGCTTCCTGCAGCTGAAGGCCAAAATTTCTGGGGATCTAACTTCTGTCAGCTCCCAGTCGAAGACAACCTTCCTCAGTCATGCTGCCTGGGGATGATGGGAGCTGTAAGCCAGCACCTCTGGAGAGCACCAAGTTGAAGAGGATTGGACTAACAAGTGTTTGGGGAGTGTTTGGCATGCTGTCTCTGTAGCAAAAGCCCCCCTCCAACTCCCAGTAACCCAATCCACTTGTTGGAAGTAAGGAATACACTGGTAGTTCATTCAAATAGCCCAAGTTTCAGAGGCATTTTGCTCCCACCTTCAACCGGAACCATGTTCCAAGTTGCTAACACCCCCCACTTAACTGGGCTGTCTCCTGATCACATGCTACATCCAACATCAGAGGCAACTTTTCTCACCTGGCACGTGCTGGTCTGCGAATTTGATGTTGATGATGTAGTTGCCGGGCTCGGTTGGGCAATAGGTGACTTTGCAAGTACCATCCTCTAGGTCCTCTGTGTTGATGTCAACCTTACTGGGGCCTTCAATGGACAAGCTCAGCCCACCATAACCTAAGGGAGATGCAGACAGCTTGCGATTAGACGGTTTTGTTGTACACTTCAATAATACCAGCAAAGATTGATTTGCTTGCACATACACGCATATTCTCATACACAGTTGAAACTGCAAGTGTGCAGAGCTTAAGTCTGCTTGCACTGCCTAGGTTATTTGGCTGGAAATATTCATTATGTGGCACCAGGAAATATGCAGGTACCAGAGTCTTGCTAGCATCAGTGATCACTGAGTGACCCTTTCTTGCTTAGAAGATTCCACTGGCATTGCCTCATTTCCAAACTACAGTCCTAACAGCTTCCCAGATCTAACTGGCCAGTGCTGGAAGTAGAACCACTAGTCTGGAGCAACTCTTGATCTGATCCAGTGGAGCTGCATTCTTTTAGAAAAGCTAGGTTTTCAAGACAAGAGTTCTGCTCCTCTTTGACCCTCCCAAATCTGGAATGGTAGGCTGGCATTACTATGCTCACAGAGCTAGTGGTTGACATGAAATTTATTCCCCAGCACAGACGTGGACTGGAGCTCCCCTGGCTATTGCAAGAGCCCAGTACAATTTAGGAAGTTCTCAGTGTCCCCATATTCTTCAAACCACCTCCCTCCTCTCCTTGTGCTGCCTGCTCTTTACCCCCCAGACCCTGCTCTCATGTGCCAAATTCTGCAAAGTCAAAAGTTGCACAGAACAAGCCTTTTGACCACTTGCAAGGTTAGCTAGATTAGAATGAACAAATTGTTCTTCTGCTATACTGTTCCCTGGAGAAGTATGCCCAATTTACTTGACCGTAGGTCAAGTGCTGACCTTTGATACATAACAAAATAGCATCCATATACCAGCATCTCTTGTATCAATGATGAACTCTGAAGGTTCAAAAGTCCGTCCCTCACTGAGGCCTGGGCCAGAGACCCTGACACGGCTGGCATCTCCAATTTCTGACTGGCTGATCATCACTGTAATAGGGCTGTTGGGGATGTGCAACCCATTCTTCTTGATGTTGACAATGTGCTCTCCAATCTCTTTGGGGACGAAGGAAATGCCTACAGAAAAAATTGGGGCGGGGGGAGAGAGGAGAGAGTTTGTTGAGCCTCGCCCATTCTCTTGTCCTACCCAGTGGAGTCTACCAATTGGCTGCAGGGGAAACTGGAGGTCTGGACCACTCACCCACATGCCCATTGCGTAGGCGCTTGAGCAAACAAGGCTCCTCACGTCCAGAGGGTGGGATCACGGTGGCGGTCAGCTGGCTCAGGTCTGTCTCGGTGATGTTCAAGGGAATATCAGCAGAAGAACCCACTTTCAGGTGGGACATGCGCATCGTGTCATCTCCTGCAGAAACAGGGAAAGACAAGCCACCTGTAAGGGTCAGCCAGCCCTCATCTGCCTACTATGTATTACCCTTCACTATAGCCCCAGACCTCACCAGTGATCTTGGCAGTGAAGGGACTTCCTGGGATGTGTTTGTCATTGTATTTCACCAAGATATTGTAGTCACCAGGCAGAACTGGAAGATAGGACACTGTACAAGTGCCATCCTGGTTATCCGTGCAGCCAATCTCAGCCTTAGAGGGACCTTCGATGGCCAGGGAGAGGCCTCCTGCAAAAGGGTTCAGAAAGTCAAATACTGGTGACAAGGGGGTTTCTTAGCAGCCCCAACAACCAAGTCAGCACTGAAGTTGTGCTGAATTTGAGGAAATCCACCATTTTCACCCACAATTGTCCCCTGTCCTGCTTATGCTAGCTTAGGTAGTTTATTTGGCCAGGTGTGGAGGTCAGTCACACTAGGCAGAGCACTGCACTCCTATTCTAGCCACTAAAAATGTTATTGACTCAGATATTTCACCAGGGTAGTCCACCAGGAATAAGGGGAATGACTCTCCACCAATGCATGGAGAATTCAGGCAGCCATTCCAACGGCTCTAACAGAGGGAGATGAGGAGGAAGTGGGGACATTCACCCACCCTACTAAAATCCTACTACTTTTTTTTCTCCAAATCTTTTATTTTCAGAAAGTAAAATAGAAAGAAGGAAGGGGTATATAAGAAGAAAAGAAGGCAAGAGCTGTTCCAAAGATTTAGCAAGCAACTCCTCATTTAAGCTAAAATTCTGCTACTTATGTGCCTCTTCTTTTTTCCTTGTGTGTTGTGCCTTTTTAGAATGTAAGCTGTTCTAGATGTGTTCTTGGCTGAGGAGTGGAATTTCAAAAAAATTAAATACATGTTTTGCACTTACACATAAAAACATGCGGCCCTGCCCAATTGACAAGAGGTCAGAAAGCCAGCTACCTATGGAAAAAGAAGGCTTCCAAGCTCATGTGAGCTTGGATGGATCTAATAGAAGTTCTAGAGCTAAAAGCCCTTGTCTGACTCACCTTCTCCTGCATCTTTTGTATTTACAGTGAAGACTGCTGGCTTGTTGACCACCCCATGGATGAGTCCTGGTCCATAAGCAGTCACATGGCCACTGTTGACATAGTCCACATAGAACTGCAAGGGGCTGCCTATGGAAGTGAAAGGAAGGCACAGGGTCATTGTGGTGCTACTAGAATATGTACAAGCCACTCCACCTTACATACTGGTCCAGTTCACACATGAAGCTAACCCACGGTATGGATTGTAAAATTCTGAGTTTCTGTATGCACTAACATACTATGGTTAATTAACAGCCTAAAAGTAGAAGCCATGGTTTGCTGTTGGGCTGTGAGCTCTTAATCCTTGTGCTGCTGTAACATGCAAACTCAGCACTGCAAAGGCATTTGGAATACAGGGAGGGAACAGGTAAAGGGTGAAAGAAACAGACATCCCAGGGATTGGGTACACAAACCATGTCTTGTTCAAGCACCTGCCAGATAAACCCTGGACAGGGCAACAGGCTCTGAGTTTAATAAGCTGTGGATTAGGCATTGTGTGTAAACCAGACCAACTTTGAGAATCCCTTAGCTAACATCATTCCTTGCAGGTATTACCTGGGATGTGCATATTGTCATAACGGATGTCCATCTCATGCAAGCCAGCTTCTGTAGGAGCATAGCGCACGGTCACTGTGCCATCCTTATTGTCCGTGATGTCTGGCTTTGCCACCTTGCCAGAAGGCATGTGCACCTCTCCTACAGGTGGGAAAATGAGGCAGAAATTAAGTCAATGGGTTCTGTTGTTCCAAGTATGGAGCTAGAACTCCACCTTCTGTTGGGAACCAGAGGAGATGTTTCCATGGGATTTAGTTTTGGTTCCCCGAACCTGCAACTGTCTGGGTGAGCAAGGGCATTAGTTCACACAGGTCTGGAATCCCTTAGGGATATTGGCACAGATGGATAAACTTGGAATGGTAAAATCCTAGGAGTTTGAAGGTCTGACTAGTTTATAAGCTGCTGCTGCATTCAGAGTTCCTCCATGGAATACTTCCCATGCTGTTAAAAGATACAGAAATATTTAACGCAAGATATGGCTAAGATTAAGATTCAGCACCAAATTTCTACAAGTGTTAAGGCATCTGGCAGCGACTGTCCTATGAGCAGTTGCACAGGCCTCCCTTCTGCACAAAGCTAGATGGAAGCCTATCTGTGCTGCACACCCAGGTAATCCACATTCCACATCAAGAAAAGCAGAAGTTTCTGTACCCTGCACAGAAACTCGAGTACATTCTGCTTCTGCTAGTTATAGGGAAAAGGCAAAAGCCTAGGCTAGGCTCTATGTCTCCCTGTCCCCAGAGCCACTGGAAATCTTATTCTATCAGCATTGTTCACATGCATTTCCATATATTCTTCAGCATCAGTTCAGCTAGGAACTTTTAAAAATGAAAACGAAAATCAAGAATTTGAATTCTGACCCGTTTTACATTCTGCACTCCCAGGATACTGGGATACTTTAGGCCCTCTTGCTCAAAGTTTAAGCCTTAAGTGAATTACCTGAAGCCTTTTAGCACAGAAACAGACTCCAAAGGGGCTCTAGCCATACCCCTCCCTGTTACCTGTGATCTCTCCTTTCTTGATGGTAAATGGGATAACCAAGTCGAAGGGTCGCAGTCCGGCATCCAGACCATTGACAGGACGATCTGTTGCCTGGAAGACAGAGGCACCCCACCAACCCAACAGAAAAGTGAGAAACAGTATTTGGGGACCGGAGAAGACAAGGAGAGATAGGAAGAAATAGCAAGAGTCCAAAAAACAGCGATGGAACACAGAGCTGACAAAGACAGACCCTGAAAAGCCACCTGGATTTTCCCCACTTATCAGTCCCTAAAAGCTTGCACAGGTGTGAGGTGGGTAGGCATCAAATAAAATGGGGCTTAGAGAAATCTTTTCACCTACTTCCCTTCAATACTTAAGATGTAGGATTAGGTCTGGATTTGACAATAGGGTTTGGTTTTGATCTAAGCAAAATGCCAAGTCCTGGAGCAGAGTTCAGAGACAGTCCTAAGCAGGGAGCTTCTATGCAGCCATTTCAATAGGGAGTTCCAGCACCCAATACTTGCTCCAACTTGATGAAACTTTCTCAGAAGCAGTTAATAAGCTGATACAGCTGTAACACTTATTCCCCACTTCTTTTGTAAAGAGGGCCTGGTGTTAAACAAGAGCCAATGTAGCATCTCATTGGCAGCTGTTTCAGGCAACTATGCCAGCAGAGGGGTGCTGTACCATCCAAAGCAGCTCCCTGGAAGTTGCACACAATGGCCAAAAAGCATGCCTGCTTTGGCTGCAGCTTGTGCTGGGTGGCCCTGTCCTTGGGGAGTTCAAAGCCCCATCCCATGGGGGGATTATCTCAGCCACAGTGCTATACTTCTGACTACCGGTTAACAGATTACCATGTGAGGGGGCACAACCCAGATGAGAACTGTTGCTCCCCGCTCACTCTCCACTTCCATATCTCTATGCTGCACTGACCTATTCAGCTGGCATCGGCTGTCCCAAACATGGGTGTGTTCAACTGGAGTGCAAAGCGTTGGAATCCCATTCATGCACAACTGAGTCTAGTGACCTCACCCACCAGCAAGCTTCCTTTAAAGTGGGGCAGGCAATCTGATGCCCTCCGTAACATCTGGAGGGCAACTCCCATGATCTCCAACCACAGGCCATACTGGCCAGGCCTGCTGGGAGCATCAGTCCAGAACAACTGGGGAGCCCCAGGCTGCCCACCCCAATTTAATAGCACAAGGCAGCAACTGGTGACGTGGGTCTCCAATGCTGCCTCTAGTACTCCCTCTTCTGGAAAGGTGGACATTGCGCTGCTTGATTGGGATAGGACTGGGCTGCCCCCAGCAAGAGAGGCTTTGACAAGGACGACACATAAAGCATGGATGGCCCCCCACCCGGCATCAAGAGATGGAGGGACGCGAGTTCAGACAAAGACACCCTCGGAAAAGCCCCAGTCCTGTCACATTCTGGAGGGCTTCTTCCCCCCCTGGAATTCAAGTGCAGGAGATGCGAGTCAAGGAGGAATGAAGAGGTATCAAGCTGCTTCTGGCTGCAGCCGCTTTGCATTAGCAGTAAAGCAGTGCATACATACATGTGTGTTGCAAGAGAATGCAAAGGGGATCCCAAGGCAGACCCCCTCAAAAGCCCCAGAACTGTCCTTTGGGTTTTGCAGGCCACCTGTTGCCCCTCCCATCCCCCCCCCCATGAAGCCCTCTACATAAGCATATGAAGACATTTGGATCCACCCTCCTGTAGGCTTATTTCCTTTTTGGCACAGGGCCATCCAATGCCAAACACCTGCAGCCATGCATAACTCATTGCATCTTGATAGCAGCAGAGCAGCTTTATGAGTAAAAGGCTTCTGAATCCAAAATATAGAAGTCGGCAAAGTCAGCCCATAGTTATTAGCCAAGCTAGCAAAGGAGATAAATGCCCCCACTAAGGTGTCCAATTCATATGAGATTTCCCCTAGGTTCTATTACTTGTGGAGCAGAAAGAGAAACCTCAGTAAGCTGCTGGTCTGAAAGCGAAACTGAACATGACACAACAGCATCCATGCAATTAGCAATTGCATGAATGTCCAAGTATTACTTTATTGCTGCCCCACCCTCCACCCCAGTAATTCAAGTCAGGACTTCAACAGGGGCCAGTTCACTTAAACCTTCTGCCCAAGTGCTGGCCGTGCAAATTCCATCAGGTCTAGTTTGGCCTTGAGCATACAAGATTCACAGCTCGCCTGTGGAGACTCCATGCAGCTCAGTAGGAGAGCACCTGCTTTTTGCACACTGAGGGTTCTAGGTTAAAGGATCAGGTAGCCAGTGCTGAGGATGGCCTGACCGGTGGTGGCTCTCCTGGCCTTCGGGCAGAGGAGACAATGCTGGACGAGGTGACACACCATCTAACTGGTATGGCCGCCCCCTTGAATTTCCATCCTAGCCAGCTCAGCTTTCTACTCTTGAATAATACACCTTCTGCTAGCTTCTCTGCACAGATTCTGCCAGGGTGACTGTGCACATTCCCCCAGCCTCTTTGGAATGGGTCTGACATTGATATGCTATTGAGGACACAAGGAGAGCCACACTGGCTCAAACCACAGGCCTCTCTAGTCCAGCATTCTGTTCCCACAGCAGTCGACCAGATGCCCGTAAGGGAGCTCATAGCAGGACAGGAGCTCAAGATCAGTGGCTTGTTTGTGGTTCCTGGGCAACTGGTATTAAGACATACTTCAATACCACAGGAGGCATGACTTGGAGAATAAGGATATCAGTGGCTACACAAGCCTCTCATTTTGCTCCAAACAAGTGAGGAAAACTTGGCCATTTTTTAAAATAGGTCTCGGGATATGATTCTTTCCCATCACTCCTGCAGCTGCATCATGCTTCTTGATACAGCTTTGCCCAACTAGCACCCTCCAGATATATTAAACTACAATTCCCAGCATTCCCAGTCAGAATGCTGGAATTTTTGTTCAACACATCTAGTAGGTGCTGGGTTGGCAGAGGATGTTCGAATTCCTCTGTTTCAAGTGGGGATCTGCCTAGACTCACAATCCTGACACTGGTAGATCCTGTTGTGCCAGTCTCATACCAATAAGGGGCCTTGTTGCCCTCAAGTAGCAGCGGTGGCAGCGGCGGCGGCGGCAGCAGCAACCCAGCCCCAAGCAATGCCCAGTGGTGCAAGAGCAGGCGACTGAATTCCATGGGGTGGCTCCCCCACACAGAATGCGCTGGGCTAGCTTTTCCGCCGAGAAACTGAACTGTTACTGCTGGTCCCCAGGGCTGTTGTGCACCAGGTGGATAGGCGTAGGGTGGGGCACGCATCGGCTGGGCCATCTGCTGGGGGGTCGGGCGCTCACCATCCAGGGCCTGTGGCAGGAATGGGGCAAGAGTGTTAGAACGGACCGATGGAGAGGCTGTCTCAGGGCCAAGACACCACTATGCAAGGGATGGGGTATGTCAGGCCACCAGATATTGCTGGAATGCAACTCCTAGCCTCCCTCACTCACCATTGGCTATGCTGACTAGGGCTGATGGGAGGTTGAGTCCACCAATATCCAGAGGGCCACATGCTCCCCACCCCTGCACTATGCAGTGTTTCTGTTTCAACACAGGATCAAGTTACCCATCCTTCGTGGCAATCTTTTACCATAGAGTCTTACTTGGACAAGCCTAGCCATTTTACCAAAGCAAACAAGCAAAACAAAAATTCAGTGCTTGAGCAATCCAGTCTTCTCACCCTTGGAAAGCAATATTGCTTATGGCATTACCATAGTAACAGCCTTACACACAGGGCTCCTTATGTGCCAAAAGTGCAATTCTTCTGTTTGGAGAAAAAATTTACTGAAGAAATGTCATTGCTGCTTTTTCAAAATAGTTGCCAGTCACAAGAGCTAGGAACTTGTTTTTAGGGCAGCTAAGATTAGATTTTCAGGAAGCCAAACTGGAAGGTTGATATGAAAGTGCCAGGATAACCTAAGGACCCTAAAATGTGTGGTTTCTACTCTCTGCTGACCTTTCCCTCCTCCCTACAAATAGTTTCTCTGCAGCCCTATGAGTCACATGCCTCCTTTCTGAGTTTCTGGGGTCCCATATAGTGTAGGACAACAGGTACACCAGAAAGCCAGCACTGTATGCAACAAGTGCCAGCTTATGTCTGGGCAGAGGCCACCTAGAAATGCAAAATATGTCAGCTCAGATTGGGCTTCCTCCTTCTGTAGTGTTAATAGACAGCTGCCCATTTTACTTTCCTCAGTGTGCTCCCTCTTTGAGGCCAGAGGAGGAGGAGGAGATCATGTTATTTTCCACAGAGTCAAAACATCCTTGGCCAAGGGTTATTTGCTTGCTTTTTTCCTAACACAAGCAAGATAATACACAGAAGTAAAGAAAAGGGACACTGCCCTCTTTAACACCCCTCCCATACTCTGTAATGAGCCAGAGGGCTCCTTTTGTGCTGGAACCTGGAAAGCGTGACTAACATTTCAACAGGAAGGCTAAGTTTGCGGAAGGCCAAGCTGTGAGTCACGAGTTACAGAAGGACAAGCTATGTGTAACAGTGGGTTGCTAGCTTGCTCTTAGCTGCCAGATGGCATCTGAACATAAGATACCACTCTGGGAGTGCAATTGTAGCCATACCCTAAGAGCACTTTCGACATCTCCTGCATCTGTGCTTCAAGTGTCCACATCTATTATGCAAAACAAGGTGGTCGAGTTCTACATTGCACTGCTTGAGAGCTCATTTTTCAAAACAATTCTCCCATAAGCATGTCAAGAAGAGAGCTGCAGTAAAATCAGTTATGTTCTGTTTACTACATGCAGCAGTTTCACAGGGAAATGCGTTCATAAATGCAATTCCTTAACTGGAGACTGAAGGGATAAAGCCTGATAATTCTACTTAAGACATGAACTGAGTGAGTTTCTGGCCACTGACAGGTCAAGCAAAGAACTCTTGACATTGTATACCAGGTAAATGAAAGGCATTAAAGAAATGGACATCCCGATAACTTTTAATACAGGTTTCTAGCCCTCAAGACTGCTATGAGGAAAAACTGGCATGGGTTTTGATCATGCAGACGTTTCTAAAGGCAACGGATTATTCAGTATGTTGCACACCTCTGTGCCTCTCTGACTGCTCCATTTTAACCCAAAAGCTTCATCTTTCAAAACTGATGCTGGAAAAACAATTTAAAATCAGACTTTGGTATAATCAGAGTTCCTGCACTGCAGAAGTGTGCATGTTTGGTACTGAAAACAAGCTTGCATAAAGCCGATGATCTCTTCAGACCCAGAACACACAAAAGAGCAGCAGCTCAGCTGCTGCACTTCAAGCTCGCCCTGCTACAGGGAACCGCAGGCTGCACCGAGGGACACAGAGTGGTTAGGGAGGTTGCAGCGCCCCCGCCTCCTTCGTGCAGCAGGGCAGAGCAGGAGGGAGATGGGAATTTACAGGTGAGGCACTACACTGACTTGCATGCAGTCTAAGAATTAGATTTTAATTCAGTGCTTAGGGAGCCACTTGGCGGACAAACTGGAGGGAGGGAGGGAGGGAGGGAGTCTGTCTGTCTGTCTGTCTGTCTTTCTTTATACTGCCCTGTAGCCCTGCAGGGCTTTCTGGGCAGCGAGCATGTAGAGAACAAGTTTAACACATAGAACAGTAAAATATATAACTGAATGTGGCAGAACTCGGATATCTTCAGCTCCCTTTCCACTGCAGCAGGCACACGTGCATGCACACAGTGCTATATGGCTGTACATCCAGGGGACATATTCACATGTCATGCTGAGCAACCCCACGAATAAGCCATGGTGGGCTGATTATTTGCTAAATGACCCGTGGCATGACCAACAAATCATGAGACTTACACTGGGCTGCTTTCCTCCCTTCTTCCCATCATCCCTCCAGAGGGCTCTGGCACATATCCCAGAGTCCTTTATGGTAAAACCCATCTTTGCCTCCCTCTCCACTTTCAGATCACTGCTGCTTTTCATTCGTCACTACAGCTTCTTTGGTGCAAATGGGGTTGTAATTTTTTTCCACAAGTGCACTCTCCTGGCTGTCCAACATATGTACTCTTGCCTGGTCAATTTCTTTATTTCAGTTTGCACACAGTTGCCAGGGTCCAATTGCCAAGTTATCAATTGAAATACACCAGTAAGGGGGGAAAGTGGAAAAAGAAGGTGCAACAATGGTCAGTATCAGTGATCCCCTGATTTATGGGAACTGAAGTAACACTTCTTAGCATCTTCCACCAAGTCAACGTTTTCCTGAGTCCAGCTACTCCAGAAAACAGAGAGAGTAACTCCTCCCACTGTTCACATCTCCTTTTTGGAGCACTTACTGCTGTGGTTACTGTGGTTCCCAGTGTTTAAAAAAACCATGGAAATGTACACCAATTTAATGGCTCAAAAAGCAAGCAAAGAGGAAGTTTGAGCACCTGCAATAAGCCAGCATTGCCCAGACTAGTGCCTTCTAGTTGTGTTTGGCCTAAGAGTTCCACCATTCCCAGCCTGGATGCATGCTGTCTGGGGATGATGGGGCTTGTCAAACTCATCTAGAAGATGCCAAGTTGAGAAAGGCAGCAAAAAGCAGACATGTACAATTCTCGTGTTTACTTCCGCTCTCTTCAATCTGTGTATTTTTTCCTTCCATTTACTTTCTAGTGCAATCATTTTTCCAACACTCAGAATATAGCGAAACAGAACAGAGAAAGTGTGAGCTCTGTCAGTTCCCAACCCCCAATCCCATTTCCCCCTTTGACAGCTAAAAAACCGTAAGCAAAGTGGCCTGGATAAGTAAATGCTAGCTGGGGATAACAGGGCCTCTCAAACACATGAGCAGGGTGCCAAGTTCAGAAAGGCAGCAATAAGGAGTTCCAGTTTGCCCATTTTAACCTATTAATTCTGGTCTCACTCTTTCCTTAGAAGTTCATTGCAGGCACTCGTTCACGATCCCTCTTTGTGCTGCTGGGGAAGATGAGGCGTGGTTGGGGGGCTGTTCCACTAGAAAGGCAACAACTACTTCTGGACAGGTCATGAAATATGTGAAGTTTGCCCCAGAACAGGTAAGGACAAAAAGGCCTCCCTTCGTAGTTTGCCTCTCACCAATCTTTCCATTTCTCATCCAGCTGCCACCATAGCATCTGGCCTCATATGCCAACAGGCACAACTTCCAGGATGCTTGGAAGCCTGATGGGCGTCCCTGAAAAAGCAGAACAATCCCAGGCAGGATTCCAGCTTGCTTGCCCACTTCTGTAGCAGATGAGCCTTCCAAAAGCAGCAGCAACATCCTGCCACTCACAACCAATAATCCAGCCAAAACCTCAGCATTAAATTCTGCACAGAACCAGGACCCTCTAAGGAAGCCAACAGGCACGAGCAAACACCTTCCTCAAGACTCACCGTAACCTGGAACGGACTGTTGGGGATATGCTCTCCTCCAAAGCGCACACAGATGACGTATTTGCCGGGCTGAGGAGCTGTGTAAAAGATGTCAAAGGTGCCATCCTCGTTCTCCACCACATCCACGTCCACCTCAGTGCCATCCGGAGTACACACCGTGCAAGTCACCTTGCCCTTCCCAGCCGCCTTGGCGTCCACAGTGATCACCGTCTCCTCGCCAATCTGGATGGTGGGGCCAATGCCAGCTCCTGGCAGAAGGGAGAGCCATGGGAAACGGAGACCTTAGCACCCACCCCCCCAGCAAGCACAGTTGGCCTCCCTAAGCCCCCAGCCTCCAACACTGGCCTCGGCAGCCTTGCCTCAGTGCCTGGCCTCCCCAGCCAACCAACCAAGGTTGGTTGAGACAAATCAGTGGAATAAAGCAGGAATAATGCCTAGAGGACTACAATTCCCATCATGCCTCACCACTAACTATGCTGACTCAGACTGATAGAAATTCTCCCAAATATCTGGGTGGTCACAAAGTTGCCCACCCCTGGACTGAAGACTTGTGAGTCAACAGAGGATGGCACTGTGAATAAAGCCACTGCAGGTCAAACCAAGTCTTCTTTTCTAGTCAGAAGAACAAAAGCAATGCAGTGATCTTTCTATTCACCCCTTCAGCCATGAGTAATAAACACTTGCTGAAAAAGTTGAAAGCCAGGGCACACTTGCTGACTGTCCCCATTCAAAGTCCTATCAGGGAAAGAATCCTGAATACACAAACTTCCATACTAGGTCTACATTTGCATCAGTTCTGCAAGATGACTGCAGTTATCTAACCTTATCATTTCTACAGCTTTGATCAGCAGCTAGTTTTAGGGCACTGGACCTGTCCAACAACTCACTTTCATATTATCCAAGATATCAGCCAAGGGCTGCCCCTGAATGACCTGCTACCTACCAGATGTTTTGCCCAAGTCTTCCCCTGCTACGCCCCTAAGGCTCACTCCCGTTTTCCCATGTGCTCATGCAAGGAAAAACATGGCTGAGGTACAAATGGAGATTGTCAGAGCCGCCACTGCTGTTTCTCTGATGGGGGTAGGGGGTGGGTTAAAATTCTGCCAGTTTGTGCAAGAGGCTGGGAACTAGATCAGGCCCAACTGTGGGTACCTCCCCACAATCCCCAAGGAACCAGTTGGCAGACATTACATTAAAAAGGACTCAAGCAAGATGGAATTACAGCAACCAAAGTTATGATTGGACCCCAGCAGAAGCAGAATTGGTTTTTCACAGAGCAAGGGATGTTACAGCTTTGGGTTCCTGGAGTTCTGCCAGTATTGTTTGCAGAAGAGCCAATTCCCACTGGAAAGGAATCCTAAACCTCACAAGCAAAATGGGAGTTCTGCTCTATATACGCATGTATGCCCTTCGATTCCAAGCTCAGATTTAACTTCAAATGGCTGGTTCCTTTCTAAGAGGGCTCCTGCAGCAAGTTCTCAGCACTTCCAAGCTGATAAAAGCTTCCACAAAAATGCCTTTCAAAATTGTTTCTTTCTGCCAACATCTCCTCTGAGCAAACTATAAAGTTAAGCCAAGATCTCTTGAGAGCTGCTTGCATACCTTTTTAAGGAGGAGGACCCACGATCAATTGCTATACAAAAAGTACTACAAAGCAGGGTCTTTTTTCTTTTTGGCATGTTTCTGAGCCAAGCGTGCTCAGAACAGAAAGGCCTGGATTTATATCCCCACAATTTCACTCACAAGCTCTCTAAGGCTAGGGTGGCCAAAGGTATATCAGGATTTAAGGGCAGTTTGTAAGGCAGACTCCCAGGACTTTAACAAGTAACAACTCAAAGGAAGGAAAAGTGTTTAGTACCATGGCAGGCCCTGTATTCACTGCCCTCAGTCCTTACCAATCCTCGCCTGTAAAGTAGTTGCCTTTGATCAAGTCTTTGTGCCCCTCTGATGACCAATTATAGAGCTATGTTAGAATCTCTGATCTGTAATGCATCTACAGGTACAGATTTGTATAGGCAGTCTATAGCCTGTGTGTCTCAGTAATTAATAAGATCTACTCCCTTAACCAGCATTTTCCATTTAGCTTCTTTCATCACCTCTATTCTGTGCCTGACTCTGGTTAGTGGATCTTGGGGTTTTAGTAAAAATGACACAGACCAATAATTCTCTGCCCATCTTCTACTCTAGTCAGAATGGATGACTGGTCTATCTGTTCAGCCAAGCTGCATGGATCATACAAGTCCTGCTGAAGTAAAGGGAGACTGGTCCATAACGCTGCGCCATGCGCCATTTGCAACCGCTGGCTCCCTCTCATCTGATTTAAGAGGAGCAGCAGCATAGCCACTGCTTCAGCATTTCCCTGGTCTGCTGTAGCTTCTAGGTCACCATATTAAAAACAGAAATATCTGGTGGTTCCAGGGATCCACTGGCCAAATTGAGGGACTTCTAGACCTTGGGGAAAACCAAGGCAAACAGGGTTCTTCCTGGGTTTAGGTGGCCACCCAAGCCACCGCAATGCTAGCAACATGCCTGGCTGATGAGAAAAGCCTTCTCCCAACAAAGGTTAAACATGCATGGCCTTGATCCACTCCCCAATTAAAAGCTGACATCCCCATTCCTTGTGCAAGCGCAACCCAGCAAGAGATGAGATTCAGGAGCACTGCAGATGGAAGCAAAGGACTGAGGGTAGCAAAGGACTACTACATCAGGGTGGTGGGCAGGAGATCCAGGACAACCATGCTGTTCCCACTCCAGCACTTAGGCCCACCTCCCTGCTTTACAACATCTTCTAGGGTTGGAGGAAGTACAAGAATCCAGCAAAGTGGTTGCAGCTTTTCTGGCTCTGAAGCAAAGGCCTGATTAACATACATACCGCCCTACTGGTGAACTGCCAACTGAAATATACATTCAAGGGAGAGGGAGAAAGACCTATCAGGTCAGTCTGGTAAGCCAAAATAGGAGAGAGGGTTGTGCTAGGTTTAATCCCTGACATCTTGCTTTAAAAGCTGATGGCCACCTCTCCGCATCTCAGCCATTGATCTGTTGGTGGCTTCCCAGATTTTGTGCAGTTTCTTCCTCTGCACTGGCCCCCATTCTAAAAGAGTGGTATGTCTAAAAGGTTGGATTGTGGCATCCAAGAGTTTCTGAAATAAATTCCACCTAGGGTTAAAGTAGTTCAATATCTCTGAGTCCCCCCCCCCACTTTTTAAGTTCCCCTAGATGGGCTAGGTGGGAAAGGCCTATTCTCAAGAGCCTCAAAGAGCTCTTGTCAGTTGCAATAGAGCAGCCTTCCTCACCCTGGTGACTTCCAGATGTGTTGGACTACAATTCCCAGAATCCCACAGCCAGGGGGACTTGCATTCCAGCACATGAGAAGGGCAACGGGCTGCAGAAGACAGCAACAGATTCACTGGGTTAGAAAGACCATTTGCCAGACAGTCTGTGTGTGTTTTTCTTATAAGCTTACATTAACATCAGGGATGTTAGTTTGAACCAGTATATTTCCTGTTTTGCTGAAACAGAATGGCAGGAGGTTTCTAAACAAAGCTACTGAAAATCAACACTTCTGCAGCATTTAACATCAACGATAAATGCTTTTGCAGAGCAATCAAGTGGGGTTGCAGTTTAAGGACATGCTTGGTTATTCTGAAGCAAGTTTTCTCCTAGCATGTATATTGGTACAGCAAGGAATAAAGATGCTTCTTTAACCATGAATCATAACTTTGCACCAAGGCTCCATGAAGTTTTGACAATAAGGACAATTACATTAGTGATGGATTTTGCATTTTAAATTAGGCAGCCCTAATTTTAGCAGAGACCGACACACACTTCAAATACCCTCATCCAGAGAAAGCTGGAATTCAACAGCCAGCTCCAGTGGAAGGGAAGCCTCACTGCAGAGCTCCCACATTTGGCACATTGACAGCGCTGGAGGTGCTCTTGCAAAATGCCTGCTGTGGCAGGGCTGGCTGGCTGGCTGGCTGGCCAGCCTGCTCAAAACTGGGCTGCCATGGTGGGTGTGGTCAGCTACAAAGCGCTGAAGGTAAACAGTAAGGCTAAAAGGAAGGCAATTTGCCCAAGAAGCCACAGTCTGAGCTCCAAATACAGATCTGTTCCTTCAAACCTAAATGAAGACGATGCCAGAGGGCAGCTCTTCACTTTGCAGCATACAAGCCTACAACATTTTTCTTAAGACTTAAGAAATAAGCTCAGGAGGGGCAGGGAGCCCAGATGATGCCAGAAGGTGCACCTGCCAACACCATGTGGGGACTCCAGTCCTGCTCCCTCACTCCACTCTTAAGCAGAGGTGGAGTCTAATGCAGGTGGGGAACCATGCAAGGGAAGGGTGCAGGGGAAGCAGGCAGGCAGGCAGGCAGGCAGGCATGCAGGACAAGGAAGGAGCCAGTAGCAAGCTGCTTACCTAGCCCATGACCTCCAATCGACACTGAGGTGAAAGGGCAAAGAGCAAGGGTAATCAGAGTGAGACAAGAATCACAGAGAACAGTGCACAATTAAAATAAAACAACAACACAAGAAACACACGCAACAGGGCACATTTCCCTCCCCACAGTGGGTGAGCAGTGTGGCCGGATGTGCCCGGCAAAAAGCAGTTGGTGTGGGGGCGTGGTGTTGTTTCAGCGTGGCTCTCCCCACCCTCCCGCACCCCCCAGATCCCTTGCCTAGCAGAGCGCTCACCTGTCACTGTACATTTGCTGGCATCGCCAGTGGGCAGGGCACGGATGCGGTAAGGCGAGTAAGGGATCTCGTCCCCACCATACTTGATGAGGATGGTGTAGCGGCCAGTCATGTCAGGGACATATGACACAGTGTAGGTACCATCCTGGTTGTCCCGGATGGTGGCTTTTTTGGGCTTGCCCTCAGGATCCTGAGCAAGGCACAGACCAGGAAGGAAGGCAAGCATTTAGTTAGTGGTACATTTGAGGCTGTCTCCCAGTGGCTCTATCGAATACTAGCATTTTATAGAAATTAACCTGTTTTTACACAGATTACAACATGAGTTGAACCTTTTTACTTGTTCCAGATGTTACTCATTTTATGTAACAAGGAAAACACAACTTGAATCTGAGGCATAAATAAATCAATGCAAACCAGGTTTATGGCCTGCAATCAATACAGACCAGAAATTGAGACAGAAATCCACTTCCCCACCCTACAGATTCTTGGGCCTCTTAACTATAACCAAAATGCATTATCCAAATCAAGGGCAGCAGGTTTAGAAGGCTTTGGAAACTGAACAAGGCAGCTTGCCAGGTCCAGGTAAGTTTCTGAAGCTAAGGAGACACCCACATCCAAGTAGGAGGCAGCAACTGCATCCACACCAACAGCTGGGTCACAATATGGAGACTACAGAGAACGGTGTTAGGCAGTCAGGATGTCACCACCAGGAATCCCCCGTGGCTTGATCAGACAGCGAAGAGATGGGTGGGGGGGCTCTCACCTCCCTGGCCCCCAGAGGTCAAGAATACTGAGAGCCAAAGGCCAAAACATCTGTAGGTATACTTTCTGCCCACTGCTCAACAGGGTGCACACACAAATCCCTGCTCAGCTTAGTCTTCCAGGACTCCCCCACTGCTCCCAGCACATGCCCCCCTCATTGCAGGATGTGTTCCCCTTACCGTGATCTGGACAGCCAACAAACCCTCTCCAGCATCTTTTGCATCAATTGTAAACTCCACGGGTAGACTGGCTGGCACACCTGTAGTGTTCAGCCCTGGACCACTGGCCTTCACTTTGCTGGCATCATGAGTAGGTAGAACCTTGACCTTGAATGGGCTGGGGATGCACAAGAGAGAGACTTGCACCATGCTACTGTTACGAGGCTAACAAAGTGCCCGGACACTGGTTCCTCATTTCCAGAAAGGACAGATGTTCCTCCCTCTTGCAAAATGTTTGAAGCCATCACAGCCTGCCTGGTACAGAGCACTCCATGAAGGCCCTTGTCATGCAGGCGGGACCAGCAGTTTTGGCAAAAGCAACAGCGAGTAGGAAAGGCAACTTGGCAGGGAGTTCAGCACTCATTTTACTCCAGCACAGCCTCCTACCACATTCAAGAGAGTCCAAAGAGCACAACTCCATCGGGCCCAGCCAGCGTGGCAGTGGTAACGATGATGGAAATTCTAGTACAAAACATGTGGAGGGCACCAAATTGGGGAAGGCTGCTCTTGTGCATCTACTCATCCAATTTACGGTAAGCACAAGTAGCCGATCCTATCTTTAGCCCAATTGCTTGCCTCTTTGATCTTGAAACGGACTGAAGAGAGAGCTTTTCTGGGACATTTTTTGCTCTGATATAAGTTGGGATCCTTTTGCTCCCAAGTCACAATCCATGATCATGTGGAAAATTTAACCATTCTCTTTCCAGACAAGACTAACAAGTCCTACATGAAGACTAACAAATCCCATAATGCTCTGGCTAAGATGGCTTGTTGCAAGTTGCAGAATTCTTTTTGTCTTTCAAACATGCCTAGGATTGCACCCTTAACACTATTCGTACTATATGGATGGGTCCCATGAAGCATTTTCCTGGATCTTGCTTACTGTGCATGGTTCAAGAATTCTGAAACTAACAGAGTTTTCCTATTCTCCCTCCCCCGCCCCCCAAGTGCTGCAGTGAGGAACAGCATAAAGCTTAGATGACAGCCAGAAGATGCCAACACTGAAATCCACTGCACATGTACACTGGCTGCTATGAGAAGCTCCACACAGTCCCTTCTGGCTTCCAACTTCCCTCCCCACCACACTGTCATAAAGACTAGAAGCTTGCTAATGCATGTCAAGGTTGAGCATTCCCAAGAGGCTTCTGGATCTAGAGACTGCCCCTGGCCTACAACAGCCACCCACACACAACTCGTACCTGCGTGGCACCTCCTCATCTCCATAGCGCACAGCAATGCTGTATGGACCCTCTCGGCTTGGCACATAGCTTGCAGTCTGAGTCCCATCTGCATTATCCACTATGTCTACAGGCTCAACCACCCCTGCAGGAAAGTTGAAACAGGTGAGGGAAGGGCTGAGTGGCAGGAGGGCATCACTGCCTTTGGTCATGTGGGGATCTGCTTACCTTTTGGGCCTTGAACTTTGACCTGGAGGGGTGCCACACCTGCCTTGCTGGTGTCCACGGTGAAGGACTGTGGTACATTGGCTCTGACAACACCTGGAGTCAGACCAGGGCCTGAACACTTGACCTTAGAGGAATCCACCACATCGTGAACTGGAACTTTGAATGGGCTCCCTGTGGGAGAAAAGAGGTTGTGTTGGAGCAAAGTCGTCACATATTGGGAACAGCACATGCTCCCTACCAGTTGGTGTGTATCTGAAGATTTTATTTTTACAATTTCGTTTCTATTTACAGTCTGTTTTTAGGGAAGACAAATTTTGCTAGTGGAATCCTTACCAGCAAATCCTATCTGTAATGCCATTACTTGCCTTTTTGGTCTTTTAAGGGAACTGCAGAGACATAGATTTTAGCAAGTGATGGTTGCCGCCAACTCAAACTTTTCCAAAACATACACGTTTCAAGGGGATTATGAAAATGCCTGGAGGGTCAGCAATCGGCACAAGATATCACAGCAACCTGGACCAGGTGAGCTGTGATGAGCTGGGGATACACCATTTTTAAATTTCAAATCACAGGCTAGCACTTAAATCATCCTGCCTGTTCCACCACTCCCCTGGGTTTGTAATTGTTTGACAGAACTGCTGCTGAAATGCTCCAAGAATGCAAATATAGTTGGCAAATCCATTTCTGTAGCAAGATCCAGGCAGTCGGCATTTTTGGACACCAAGCAAACCCAGTAACAGATCAGTCTCACTGCAATACTGACTTTTTGCCTTATTTCCATGAAGACCCTGAAAATGAAAAGCAGCAGCAGCCGCCATTGCTGCCACAGATTAAGTACATTTTACACTATGGCATTCACTGCCGCATGGCATAATGATGGCCACTGACATGGAATGACTTTTAAAAGGGGTTAGATATACTCATGGAGGCTAAAGCTATCAATAGCTATCAGTCCTGATGGCTCTGTGTCAGCTCCAAGACTGGAGGCAGTTCACCTCAGGAACAGCTGCTGGAGAACGCAAGTGAGAGGTTGCTACTGCATGCATGACCCCACTGGGGGTTTCCAGAGGCAGTAGGTTGGCCACTGTGCGGAATGCTGGAGGAAGCGTGCCATTTGCCTCATCCAGCAAGGCTCTTCTCCTGTTCTTATGGGTAGTCTCTCTTTCGTCGCTAAGCCCAAAGATGCTTACAGCACCACCTGGAAGCCAAGGAAAGGCACCCTCGCCTCAGGGATTGCCTCAGCCAAGCCAGATCAGCTGCCAATTGTATACTACACCTCACAAGCCCACCTGTTCCCACCGCTCCATTTCCCCATACCTCACCCCATGTAATACCTGGCACTTGATGGCCACCGTATGTGACGTTGAGGTTGTAGGTACCCGGTTCATAGGGGATGTATTCTACGGAGCAGCTGCCATCTTTGTTGTCGGTGCATGACATCTTGGCTTCAGAAGGACCTTCCACTGCTAGGCCCAGACCACCAGTACCTGCACCCCTACAAGAGAAGAAACCAGGTGTTAACCAGGCATACCAGACAGCCCAATGAGCCTGCGTAGTGGGGAATGGAAGTCATCAGGCACTTGCCTAGAGCAGGATGTTGCAGAGTTAAATGAAGATGCTCCTCTTTAAGCAACGTAAAAGGACAGGGGTTCATTTTAGTAAGTCCATTTCAGTGGTGACCCCACTTCAGTCTTGCACAATGTGCTTTTTAATGATTTAAGTGCGGGGGGTGGGATCAAATCTCCACTAAGCTTCCAAGTTCGCATAACAAAAAAGCAGTCAAGGGACAGTATCCTATGCTACCCTTGTGCCACTACTAGTGCAACAGGGGGACAGTGGATTTTAAAGGAAATGGCAACACTTGCTTCTACAACAGGGAGATTGGTGGAGTTCGCATAAGGAACCTCTGCTGACCTGTTCTAATCCCAAAACAAGCATTTCTACTCATGCCCTGCATTCCTTCTCAAAGGGCTCACTCCTCCTTGTGCAAGTTCTGTGCTCCACCGGCACAACAAAGGCCTGGAAAGCAGCAGCCCCAGTGGACACTGCCCTGGCTCTTCTAAAGGAGCCATTTGCCTTAGCTGGATTCTAAACTCTTAATCTGAATTTAATTTACTGCTTTTGTATACTGTTCATTGCTATCAAAGCTCTCAGACCTGTTCACGATGAAACAACAATGTAACAGTATAACCATTTAATATACAGAGTCATGCAACAAATGAACACGTAATATACTGGGCAAAGGGGGACTCCCCAGAATAATAAGGGTCCCTAACCCTTGCCTCTGACTCTTCTGGAGTAGAACGGTGTGGGGAAAGAACCAATCCTGTCTTGGGCACAACTGGGTGTGGCACTGTTCAGTGGATTCCCCCCTCCAACTTTCCTTGTTTCTCCTTGCATGTTGTCATCTCAGTGATGGTATGCTGATTTGGAGACTTACCAGCACCCCCATACACACACACACACACTTGTTTTAATGGAACTCCAGCATTTCTTGCAATGCTGCCTGTGGCTTACAAATGCCCTCCTTTCTTTAGGGCACAGACATTTTCACAAGGCCAGCCCAATTAAAATGGTACCTCCATCAATCCTCACCTTTAGTATAAGATTCCCCCCTCCCCTCCCCACCAAACACACACACTCGCCCACCCCACTGCTCTTCTTGTTTACCTGGTCTCCACAGTGAATTTGTTGGGCTTATTGGTTGTCCCACTCTGAATGCCCGGGCCATGTACTCGAACCCTTGTGGGGTCACATCCTTCTGTTACTGGGACACGGAAGGGGTTACTGGGCACAGGGCTGCCATCATAGGTCACGTCAATAGAGTGAACACCTGAGGTTAAACGGGAAAGGGTTAGAGCAAAACACATGTATGGAGGAGCAGGAGTCCTGACTTATTGTCTACCAAGGGATTGGCTTTAGTTCAGTGGAAGAGCAACTGCTTTGCAGCCAGCAGGTCCCAAGTTCAAATCCCAGCATCTCCCAATAGGGCAAGGAAAGAATTGGGCAAGAAATCCTGGAGAGCCAATGGTTTCCTCAGTAAAATGCAGCTTCCTATGCTTCTTTGCACACACAAACTGGAGCTGGAAGCTTCCCCCAGCTAAGAAATTGTGTGCTAAGGCTCAAAGTTTCAGAGGCAATTCCCTGTGGAAGTTTTCTGTCATTTCGGGGGGGGGGGGCAATGATGGCTACTCACTCCACTGGCCCTATTTTAACATCTGGTTCAGGCAGCCCAAGAGGCTCTGGTATTTTAGGCAGGCCCTCTAAGGCAAAGCACACATGTCGGCACATATTTTTTTAAAGCATACATGTGCACACGCATGCACACACTTCACTCTGTTTTGAACAATGCCTCTGCCACCAGGCAGGATGCTGACTGCTGGTTGAGCTAAGCAGCTCTGTGTTTGGTCAGTGCCAGGATAGCAGAATCGCTCAGAAGCCCATGCACAGTGTTTTGTGGCTACAGTAAGACATAAAATTAAGAAATATGCTACATTTCAACAATCTGACACCAACCCACCCATGCCTCTATACTCTCAAAGGGGTGGGGGCAAGGGCCTACAAGGAAATTTTTCAAGGTGACTTAGGAGCATATAACCTTTCCACTCATTTCTGCCCTACAAATGTCAACTGGCTCCCTCCCCGCTCAAAACACACACCCCCCACCAGCTCTCACCATCTTCATAGGGAGTATACTCCACGACGTAGGTTCCATCCCCATTGTCACGCACGTAGCTCTCTGTCAGGTTTCCTGAGGGGTTGGACACTCTGGTTTTGATATGAGGACCTCCAGCCTTAGTCAGGGTCCGGGCATCCACATTGAACTCTGTGGTGGCCTCACGGAACACCCCTGGTGGACACAGAAGAGAGTAAGAAGCTACAACATGTGGAAGAAGTGTCTAGACAGGACTGCTCCCAGCTCAGTCCCAAAAAGCTGCACCACACTTTCATCATCTTTCATGAACACCTTCAATTCCTATAACATCCAGCAAAGAAATATTCTAGATTGTGTTTATAGGCCTGAGCCAAAATCTGGAACGCACATGCATTTTTTGGTTCATTTCCAGTGCAAACCCAGACCGAGGACATCCACAATGAAAGAAAGAGACATCTATTTAAGGCCACATACAGCAACCAGGCCTCATACTTCATTCCAAGGGTCTTTATCATCACGCCCACTAAACTTCTCAGAACCCCACACACATGCAGAGTGATCCACCAACAGACGTGCAAGTTGTCACTGGCATATGCTTTTAAGTTTTGAGTTCTTCACTGCCTTAAGGGCATTTTAAACATGAGCAGGTGATGCCTGATACCCGCAGCAAACTTAAGATCACAAATGTCTCTTCCCTAACCAGAACAGGAGTAGGAACCTTGGAACCCCAATGTTTTCGCTTACAGTTCTCATCATCTCTCACTCAATTATGTTGGCTGAGGGTGATGAAAATTGCAGCCCTCTGGATAGCTTGGCCTCCTAGTTGCCAAGCCACAGATTAGACCAACTAGAATTATTTCTAAAACACAAAACAACGGGGTTGGGGGATTATTGCACAAACGCATGCTTCCATTCTGCAACCTACCCAAGTCATGCAAATACTAGTTATCCTAGGATCTATTTTTCAGAGCACATCCTATCCTGGACATAGCTTTCTTATGCTTTACTGATGACTGCACCCTCTCGAGTCCCACTGGGGTGGTTCCTTGTGCCCACAATTCCTCACCTTTGCCTTCTACTCCAGGCCCGTAGACTTTCACACCAGAGGTGTCCACTGCTGGCTCCACGTTGAGCTTACTGGGGAAGTTCGGTACAGGCTGCCCACCATACTTGATGGTGATGGTATAGACGCCAGGGCAGAGAGGGATGTATGTTATGGTATACGTGCCATCACCATTGTCCCGCACATGGACCTCTGCCTGCGTGCCACTTTCCGAGATGATCTCAATGGTGAGCTCCGCGCTCCCAGCACTGGAGCAGTCCACGCTGAACTCGCCTGCCTGCCCCACCGTGGCGTGTTCCAGCCCTGGTCCGGAGCACTTCACTTTAGAGGGGTCAAAGCCTGGCACCACCTTGGCTTTGAAGGGCGAGCCAGGCACGTGGGTGTCGGCAAAGAGGATGTTGATGTTGTACTCGCCCGGCTCGGTGGGCAGGTAGGAGACTGAACAGGTCCCATCCCCATTGTCCAGGCATTCTATCTTGGCCTCGCAAGGGCCCTCCACTGTCAGGCCAAGGCCTCCATTTCCAGCCCCTTTGGTATCGATGGTAAAGGGGGCAGGGGAGCCAGCCAAGCCACCTTTCAGGCCTGGTCCATAGGCCTTCACCTGGGGAAGAGAGAAGGTAGGCAACTGTTGTGTTACAGCATCCATGAGGACTCTGGCCCATAACCAAAACTCCCTCATAAACCAAGACACTCTTCTCCAAGGGGTAGATCTTTGACCACATACAGATGGAGAGAGAACAGGTGGAAAGTCAGGTATGGCTGAAATATATGTATGTGGGCATTTATTTTATGAGGGTTCTTCAAAGTCTCCTCACTTCTATATTTTATATATTTTTTGCTGATGGCATTAAAAAGTTGGTACAGTGCTGGGAAAAATGCATTGCAAAGGAAGGTGACTATGTAGAAAAATAATGTCATTTATTTTTAAAATTCTTAATAGAGTTTTAAGAAGTATGGAAACTTTTGAAGAACATATCATTTTTCTGCACTGCGCTGCTGTACCATTCAGTGACCAAAGCTCTCTGGTCAGCAAGACTTCAGATGACTGAGGGAGCTGATGCACTGAAGCCCTTTTACAGCCTCAGGGCCAAATTTCATCTCTGAGAAGTTTTCAAGGGCCATATTCTGGTGGCAGTTGGAGCTGAAGACTGAAACACAAGCCTACTTTAGTTTAAAGCTTGTGCCAGTAACTAACTCTTAGGAAACACATTTCAGTCTTTTAAAATGAGAGGAAAAGTGGCACAAATCACAGGAAACTACCAAAGGATCAGACCTGCTGGTGGTGAAAGGGTTGGGGCCTACTAGGAAGAGACTATTTTAGCTGCCAGAGGTGAAGTTCTGCACCCAGGCTGGAAGCCATCTGAGGGACTCTTACCTTGGAAGGATTGGTGGGAGGTACAGCCTCCACAGGGAAAGGGCTACCTGGGACAGGCACGCCATCATAGGTCACATCCACTTCATAGGGTCCCTCTTCCCGGGGGATGAACTTCACCACACTGTTGTCCGAGCTGAGGCCTGGTTCCACCTTACAAGGCACAGGCTTGCTGGTGGGGCCAGTGATCTTGGCTGCCACTTTACCTTGGCCTCCAGCACCTTTGGATTTTACGGTGAATTCCTGGTCTTTGCCCACTTCCACTTCTGCAAGAATTGTTTTGCATGTCAGAAACAGACCAGCATGACTTCTTTTGCCCAAAGCACAACTCCTACTTCCCAGGGCCAAAGAGTTCTGCACCCACATGCAGTGCAGTGCTGGTAAAGCTTAAAAGAGTGGGCTCTGATCATAACAGCTATGATCCCTCACAGCTATGTCCCCAAGGAGAGACCAAAAAGGAGTGGTTGTGTTGATCCAAAGCAACAAGCCTGTTCTAGCAATTTACATCTCTCCTCCAGGAGCCATTTTGTCACAAAGTTAATAGACCTTAGTTGCCTATTCAAGACTAAGCCACCTCAAAATATTTAGCATAATGGAGAGCTGGAAGCAGCTACCTAAGAATAGCCCTCAGCATTAGTGCTTCGTGGCAGTTTCAAGGCCCCGAGTACTAGGCAGCATGTGTGACTTCTGGGCAGTGGTATAATGCAACCAGGGCTCAGCTCACAGGAACACAGTGCCAGCACTCTTGCATTAGTGGAGTGCTGATGTCATCTGCCACCCCCAACTCCGAATTTCCTCTTCCCCCAGAGCTTAACTGCAAAGGGAAATGCATTTTCCCAGTAACAAGATGATTTATCGTATAGCACCCTACTCCAAGGCCTGGTGGCAAGGGTTAAGCATGGAGGAGGGAGCAAAACTGGCATGACTAATGTTTCCTGAAAAACAAAGAGGCCTTGGAGTGCTTCCAATTGTTTCGCCCTGGCTGGTCTCCAGGAAGGGAAAGGCTTTATTCAGCAGCCACTAGGGAGACCTCCGAAGACATGCCTGATCTGAACAAAAATCCCAAGTTTTCCCACCACGGTGTTGTCCCTGAAACTATTGCTCTAGAAGATAGAGAGGGAGACAGAGCATTTCTGTGGGTATGTATGCATAAAACAGGCGCTTCCAAGGGCAGGGAAATTCCTTGAGTTCTTGTCATGACAGTGAACCATAACAGTCTGTCCTGTTATGGAGATGGAATAGCAGGATTTTCAGAAATGTGTATGGACAGTGTCACCAGATATGGTCAGGGCTGTACATAGAGAGACCAATCTGACTGCGAGGGGGAGGGGGAGGGGGAGGACAAGGAGAATAATAGCGGATTGGTGCAGAGTTCCACATCCTGAGTTGTTAAAATGGGCAGCTACCACTTAAAACTGCCATGTGTTTCACATGCTCTTAACGTCTACAGGAAGGCCTACCACAACAGAAGCTTCACAGTGGTAGCTGCGAATGAGCAGCAAAGTTGGGATGGAAAAGACCCAACCCATCAGCACAATTTAGCATAAATTCAAATGAAGCCTCCCCCCCAAAACCTGGAACCCCCAGAGGCACTGACTACAAGTCCCATCATCCCCATCCAGCTGGCTGAAGATGGGACCTGCAGCCAGCACATCTGGGGTGCACATTGGCATGCTGGAGGTGGGGGAGGGTGGGAGGAGAAACAGGCATGCTGAACGTGCCACTGCTTGTCTTTGCCAGAGTTTAAGTGTTTCATGAAGCCTTCTTTAACCAGAGGATATCAGCTTTCATTGGCAGCATGGTTCCATTCTAAGCCCTTCCTGTTTCAAATGTGAGCTCATTTTAAAAATGAAAAAAGGCACGTGTTCAAAACACATGCAGATGGCACTCCACTCACAAGCCCAAGGTGGTGAAATACAGGGTGTCCGAGCCCACACCCTCAGCTCTAGCGAAACTGGACTCTGCGCAGCCCCACACGGAGCCTATGAAAGGGGGAGCTTGTATTCGGTCATCACCTTAGTCGTGCCTTGTTGTGAGCTTCCTTGGAGCCATATGGTCTTGACAGAAAGCTGGAAGAGGTTGGAGCTTGGTCTGATCCCAAAAGGCAGCTGTTGCCCTATGCCAGTCAGCTGCAAACACTGGCTTTATTGTATATGGCTGGGGATTTGCCTGGGACATCGTGGCCAACCCATCTCAGACCAAGCAAATGACTATATAGAAGCCAGTTCAGAACAAACCTGAAGGACATTCAGGGATAAGCTGACATTGTACTTCTATGATGTACTTCTATTATTATGTGCTATTGTATTTCATTGTATTTTATCGTGTTGTAAGCCGCCCCGAGGTTTCGGCAAGGGGCGGCATAGAAATGTTATAATAATAATGATGATGATGATGCCTTCAGTGGTTTTTTGAAAAACAAATTAGATCAACTCACTACTTAAAAAAAAAAAATAGAGTCAAGCAAATATATCCCTCAAGGCACATACTGGGCCAGTTCAGGTGGAGTTCCCGGTGCCATCCTACTTTAACCTCAGCTTAGATCCATGTTTCACTTTTGTTTCTGGCTCACAAAAGAACCAACGCCTTTTACAACAGTACAGATTTGGTGATTTGTGGTTTGCTAGCAAGCCCACAAGCTGCAACTTTCAACTGTAACTCAACCATGAAGTGATGCAATGGCCAGAAATATAAGCCTTGCACTGTTACGGATTCACAGACATTCTGATTAGCTGAGAAAAGAAGACATCCATCTTTCTAAAGCTTCCTTATCTGGTATTTGGAGGAGATGCCTAACCTACAAGCAGCTACATAAAGCAGACAAATAACTTGGGTGGGCTTGTAATTTCAGAAACAGGGAGAAGGAAAGTATTCTACGCCTGCACAGAAAAACTGTGTACATTTTATAATAGCTGCAGAATTGGACAGCAGAAGAATCTCAGCTTTCATTCAAAGGCAGGATTCCCACCTCTGCAGCAGCCAAGACAGATGTTCTAGCAAGGGAAAGAAAGATTCGACAGACCTCAGGTGGCTGGCATGCTGTATATAATTCACCACCCAAACCTATGATTAGCAAAAGGGGAATAAGCATTGCTTTGGCTGGTGTTCAAGTCACCAAGATACATACTGTCTCCAAGTCCAGAGATCTTGATCTTGCTGAGGTCCAGCGTGGGCGCCACTCCCACAGTAAAAGGACTTTTGGGAATGTGGTCTCCTCCATATGTTACATTCACTCCAATATTACCCTGTAAAACAAGAGGCCACCAGTGTCTCCCAGAACAGGCAGGTTTCCCATCCTGCTCACCAGCCTCATCAGCCCTCCTCCTACTGTGCCCCCTTGTTAAGGCTCCCCTCAGGAAAAAGCTATGCAGAGATGTGGCTGCTGAGAAATGGGGCAAAGGAAACAGGAATAAGCAGCCCTGTCGCCCATCTGCACAGCAAGAGAAAGGAGCTTTTAGCCCCTTCCCTGCTCTGTGATCCCAATGAAGATAAGTCTTTGCTGTACACCTTTTATTAAGCTTCTCTTTATAAGCATAATAGCAATATGGAAGCCATCAGCAGCAGATCATGGGGAAAGGGAAGGGTTAACACTCCTCACCCTTTGCAATGCTGACATATGAGAAAGAGAATATATACATGTGTGAAAGAATGTGAGTGTGTGAGAGAATGGGCAAGTTCACACAACACAACAAGCCATGGGGTTTTATTGTGCAGGATGGTCTGTCATGTCATCTGAACCCTATCATATCAACATGATACCCTTGGTTCTAGAAACCATAATAAGAAACAAAGGTCTGTTGTATGGTTTCCATACTTCGCCATGGTTTCCCTGGTCAATTGAGCCTGGTCCTGGTAAGCATGTACCACAGAATCCTCTAGACAGAGCAACACTTGCAGGGGCTGCTCTAGCCATCCAGCATGGGGCTGAACTGCAGTTATGATGGCTGATGAGATACATGCCAACAGCAGGAGGAATGGGCAGAGAGGGTGGAAACCACACTAGCGTAGAAACCGCAGACACATCCAGTCAAAAAACCATGCACCATGGAAACCATATAGGGGTGTTTATTGCAACATGTTTATTGTAAAAAGTGACAACTGCCCCCTCCCCACAAGCTGTTGTGTTCAGCCACATATGTAACTTGGTCAGATTCAAGGCCTAGATTCTCTGAACTGGCAACCCTACATTTGGACTGTAAGACCACAGATTTCAGGCAGAGACTCTTAGGCATTCCTCTACAGAGAACAAGGAACAAGGTTAAGATGCCAGATCTATAGGGAGTCTATCCATCACCTCCCCCTTCCTCTGGGTTCTGAGCCATGAAAGTCCAATCCTAGCTGTGCATAAGTCTACTGTTGACCAAGGTATCACTAGATACACACTCTTGAATTCACTCCGCTCTCCCTGCAACTCTACTTACCTGTTGCACAGGTGTGTATTTGACAGTATAGGTGTTATCATGGTGATCAATTATTTCAGAATCTCTTACAACATCTCCCTTGCTCGGACCCGTGAATTGGACATCCAGCTTGGCCTTGCCTGCTGGCTTGGCATTGACTGTGAAGTGGGTTGGTTTGCCAATCTCTACACCTGTGAGGAAAGAGAGATGGGTAAAGTCTGCCCAGGCCCACAGGATAAGCAGTTTTAATAAGCTCCATGGACCATTGCTTTCCAGCAGCCTCCTCTCCCTCCTGACCTTGCAGTTCAATGCCCACTTGGCCAAGACCTTCTCTGCACTGCCTGTCAAAGTCTGAGTTCTACCCATTTTTGACCAGAAACCATCCAGTTATCTATTTCAGAGGGTTTTTGTTCAAGACTTCCAACAGGTGTCTGGAGAATAATGTTCTGTTGTGAACCAGATCTGGACAAAACACTCCCTGGAAGACCCCGGCTTCTAACCTTGAGCAGGAAAAACTGGGAAGCATATGGTACAAAGGCAAGCCTGTGACTGTAATACCCTCCCCATTCCATGGGGCCTCCTGGAAAATTCCATTATCATCTTCTCATTTGCATTACATACAATTCTGATAATTTCTTTGATAAGCATCATATAAATGTATTACCACTATTCCTAGTCTGCTAGTAGTATTACTATTACACTACTAGTAGTCTGTTAGATTCCCACCCATCTGTTTAGGCTGGAAATGTAATGCTCAAAGTGTATTCACAGGGCCCCTGCCTTGCCTAATTTAGCCCTCACCTTGGCAGCCTTCTGCAAACAATAATGCACTGCCCAGATTCAGAGCCACATGTAACTATCCCAAGCTCTTGAAGGTGGGAAGCACCATGTTTAAATGCAGACAGTTGCTGAACCTCCCTCTCACGCCCAGACTCTAGTGGAACCATCCCTCCTCCGGATCATAAATTCCCAGCCATGTGCTCCGTACCAACCCGCGCCTGTTTTCACCGCATGCCAACTCACCACTCCTGCTGAGGCCAGGTCCTTCAGCTTTGACCTTGCTGGCATCATGTGAGGGATCCACCTTGATTCGGATCGGACTGGTGGGAGTGGCCTGCAGATGAACAGGAAGCAGATGGAACCCACTGCTGCATCCACTCAGCTCCATCCCCCCACTATTCTCCAGGTGCTACCCTGAGGAGGGCAAGCCTTACCTGGTCAGCAAAAAGCACCATGATTGTGTAGCTGCCAGCACCACGGGGTGTATACTTGACTGTGAAGGTGTCGTTGTCATTTCGGATGATGTCAAAGTCTATGTCTGCTTCAGCTGGGCCCACAACTCCTGGTGCACACTTTATGCCAATGCTTACATCACCTTTGAGGAGGAGCAAGAATCAGCAACATGAGATTATAGGACCACTGTTTCTACCGACCTGCATCTGCTTTATTACAGTCAGCTCCCAAGGGTGCAGCAAGTACCCAAACTGACTGGAAAAGGAGGACCAACTCACTTTAGTTGTACTGCAGTTTTGGCTGCAGGCTTTGCATATCTATACAAAGCGAAGGCTTCTAGCACACAAAGGAAAAGGCAATGGGTCCAGAGACACATCACAGACCCTACACTGAAGGGTCTGAAGACACATTCATTGTCTACACTACAGTTTTGGTTGAGCGTGACTGTTTCCACTTGTCATAGTGGCCTTTAGAGACATTTATTTATTTATTTATTTATTTATTTATTTATTTATTTATTTATTTAGAAAATTTCTATACCGCCCCATTCGCCGAAGCCTCGGGGCAGCTCACAAAACATCAATTTAAATATAATACATTAAAAATATAAAACGAATTAACAATATAAAATAAGTCGCCCTGGCCATTGACTGGACGGCCCCAATCTTCCTCTCAAGTCTGGAGCTAGGGATGGTGGGGAGGTCATCCCTAACACTTACACAACCACAGCTCTCAGAATTTTTTGTGGAGAACGCTAAGCATAAGATTGTAGTGGAGAAGATAAACCTAGCAATAAAGATTTGCATACCACATGTGCATGAGAATTGAGAAACTAAAGGAGGAGTGGATAGAGAGTAGATGTCTAGGTGCTTTGGATTTCAACGTCCAGAAACTCCTGTCGGTACAACCAATGCTAAGGAATGATGGAAGCTGAAGTACCAAACATCTGGAGATCTTTCTTGTTTAGAACATCACATGCATCAGTGCCTCTGGTAGCAAGAAGCCAGTAGCTGACAAGATTTTCAGGGAAGGGAGTGATGACCATAAAACAAGATGAGGTACACTTATTTTCATTTCCAGTAAGTTTTTGCCACTGGTTCCCAGAAACACATGAAGCAAGTATTTATACAGTGGCCTAAATCAAACAAACAATGGTGCAGGAAACTTAGCTATGGTTTGGCATGGTTTGACAAACATGGTTAGGGTGGCTGTTCTTCCTCTGAATGCCACACCTCAAAATTGGAGTGCTGAACAGTCAAAAACCTGCAAGCCATGGTTTATTTGCAAGGCTGGAAACTTTCATCTGGGTTGGGATAGGGGCAGATAGGAGAGCCCAGTGACATCTGGAGACACACCATTTGGCATGGGCCTCCCTCACTTGATACTTGAGATGTGTCACAGGATTGCCCAACAGGACAGTCTTCAAAACACAAACAAGACAACCACAGCTATTGAGAAACCAATCACTTGGCTGAGCTAGGAGTGGAGAACAAGGAGGACAACCTAAGCAAAAGGATTGCTCAGTTGTTTTACTGGCAGCTGGAGCAGAACAAGGGGCAGATCACAGAAACATAGAAACAGAGCGAGTCAGAAGGGGTCTCCCAGGCCATCTAGTCTGACCTCCAGCACCAGCCGGCTCCGCTCACGACATGCCCACCATGTGCATGTCCAGCCTATCTTTGAACACCCGCACCAATGGGGCCTCAACCACCTCCCATGGAAGCCCATTCAGGGAGCATGGAGTCTGTTTCTATGCTGCCCTTTCAGATAAGCAGGCAACTTACAGAAGCAAGCCTATTTTAGCCCCAATTAAAAATGGATTTGACAAGTACCCCTCTCCCTGCAACTGCTAAAGCTGCTGATAAGGCCATATTTTGTGCATTCCAGCATCCTCCCACCCTTTCTTATAGTTGCTTTTCCCAACCAGATGCCTTCCAGATGTGTTGGGCCACAACCCCCACCATCCCCAGCCAACATGCTGCCTGAAGATAGTGGGTGGTGTAGTGCAACATATTTTGAGGGCACCCAGTTTGGAAGAGACTCCCCTACAGACAGGGGTATACTGTCTTCTTAACACAGGCTCCACATTCAACTTTTACGACTAAAGCCATTGGTAGACATTTGAGAGCCACCTAAAAAGGGAGAGACTACAGTGAAGGGAGGGAAAACCACACTGACCTGAATGCATATGATAGGCAAAGCATTCCACTGTGCCCCCTTTGCGCATGGGGCTTCCATCCCTTCCTCACACCTCCTGCAACCTGTGTTGGCTCCTGTCCAGTGCTGCAATACTATGCTTCCCCTCAGGAACAGCAAGGGCAGCACCGTGGAAGAGGGCTAGCTCACCAGAGCGAGACTGCCACCACGGTGGAGTGGGGCTGGCTGGCCTCCATTCCAGCAGAGCCAGAGCCAGCATTCCAAAGGATTAGCAGCAAGTTCATCTTAAAGACTCACCCTGCCCAGCTTCTGTGCAGTCTACTGTAAAGTAAGTTGGCTCATGAGCCTTCAAGCCCGTCTTTGCCACACCAGGTCCATACACTTTCACTTTGTTGGGATGACTGCCAGCTCCAACGTTCACCTAGAGAGAGAAATGCTAGTACAGTCTTTGACTTGAAGGAGAGGTAGTCCTTGGCAAACCTGTGGCAAGAAACTATTGTGACAGCGGGAGAAGCTTCGCCCTTTTGTTCCCAGGGCTCTTGCCCTAATGGCAGGGATAGGAAAAAGGTAAGCTAAAGGACCTGGAGTCCCGAACACCCATCGGCCCTAGTCCATGCAGCCAATGGTGCAGGACAGCAAGCACAGTAGACCAAAGTATCAGGAAGGCTACCAATTATCCAGCCCTGTCCTAAAGGCCTTAACGGGTCCCACTGCAGTGCTACTGCAGTGAGTACTCACACCTCCAGAAAAGGAGTTACTTAATTTTCCTAAGACAGAGTCTTCTGGCACATTAGGGACAAACACATTTAACATGGCACAAATTTTGGAGACTCAAGCCAACTCAGCATAGCTGAAATATTATCCTAAGTTGGTGTGTGCACACAGACAGTTGTATGGAAAACTGCAGGCAGATCTGGGAGAAATTCCATGCAAAGGATTCTAAATTTTATTTTCATGGTATTAGTGGGAAAAGGCATGTCAGTCCAAGATAGCTTGGTCTGAGGGCACACGATGCATCCACCTTGATGAAGCTAAGCAGGGCTGGGCCTGTACGGCATCTGGATGCAAGGCAACCTAGTGACCCTAAATATGCCGTATCTTGAACTCCTTCTTGGAAGATAGCTGGCCCACATGCATGTTACTAAAAATCTGACACCACACTTTGGTCATACACAGGAGTTTAGGCACAGTTACAATTCATAGCAACTGAACTAGTTTGCAGGGAGAAGGTCTCTACTTTGCTGTAGAGCACATGGCGGGCCCACAAACTGGAACCACTTACATGTGGATTATAAACCCTTTGTAGGGCATAGTGGACAGCAGCCTTTAGCTTTTGCTCTCTGTAAGCAAGGATGAAGAAACCTCGTCCAACCACCAAAACCCCACAAGAGAGACTGACCCTATATGGGCTGTTAGGGATGTTGACTCCTCCCCATGATACCATAGCTGTGTGCTTCACCGGCTTCTTGGGCAGGTAGGAGCAGCTGTACGTGCCATTGCCATTGTCCTTCACAGAGACATCCACAGGGGATCCTTCAGAGTCCTGAGAGGGAGAAATGGTAGGAGATCAGTTTCCTGCAAGGTTCCCTGGTTATCCTTTACCACAGCAATGAGATCCTTCTTTGCCATGCAGACGTTTTTATTCTCATTCTTTAGATCACCTACCCTGACCTGGCAACACCCCTGGACAAGTCCCATTATCCCAACCTGCTGGAGATGATGTGGGTTGTAGTTCAACATGTCTGGGGTGGCACTGGGTAGAGGAAGAACCATCTAGTTCAGGATGGTCCAACTTTTTATACCTTGACAACTGCTTGAGGACTTCAGCGTGCGTGTGTGCGTGTGTGTGTGGAGGGTCCTTCTCCAACCACAGCACAAGCACAATGACCACTCCTCTGGGGTGGCCCATCCTTTTCTTCCCTGCTTATCCTGCCCAGAAACCCTCCCATGTGACCCCACCCCTTCTTGGAACTGGCTTCCTGAACCTCTTGTATCTGAGCCAATGAACTCTCCCCAGGATGCCCCACCTACTCCTGCTAGCAAGTGAGTGGAACGAGCCTCAAGAAGAGAGCAGGATGGACAGGCAAGCTTGGGTGAGCGCACCACAATCATGCCCGTGCCATTGCTGGGATCCAGACTGGGGGTAGGAGACTCCAAGCGGCAAGAGAACCACAGAACAAGGCCTTGGGGGCCACTTGTGGCTTGCAGGCCACATTCTGAACCATCCCAATCTAGGTAATGAAGATAGGAGAAGAGTGCTGGTATTTTCGTTAGCACAAACAATGCCTCACCTGCACTTGCACCTTGAGTGGTGCTTTCCCACCACTCTTTGCATCCACGGTGAACTCTGCGGGTTTGTTGACTGCAACACCTGCCTTCTCTAAGCCAGGCCCATGGGCTTTAACCTGGATAACAGATTGGCAGGAAAAAAATCTTACCTACAAAGCAACTTCTCGCTATCTAAAGTACAGCCAAAAGAGGTGATGACTTCCTTAAATAATGAGACAGCAAGTAAAAGTAGGTGTCCCTCCACTCCAGAGGAAGCAGATGCCTTTGGCCAGAGTCTGGATGCTTCCACATACAACACTTTGTGAACGACATGTGCCTGCTGCCAAGCACACAACTCCATGCAATACAGGAACCTTAGGGAGACCATGCTGCTTGAGGTTTGAGCCATACTTGCCCAGTTCCCACTGAGTTCATGGTGAAGAGAAGAGTGGAACCAGGCTGGCAGACAGGAAATCAGAATTATGACTTGATAGCCACACCATGATACAATTGGCACAAAGGCTTCTAGTTGTAAACTAATTTCGGAGATACAACAACTCAAAATCATGAAGGCTAGGGCCTATGGATTACACCCTTTTCCCAAGAAAGCAGCTTTTTGCACCAGGCAAGAGCAGTTGATTTAATCCCGGGGTGTGCAGACACAGTCTTGCCAAGATGCTACTAAGGGCAGGGTGGCAACCATGTCACCATGCTCCACTGCAGAACCATGTGAACCAAGCTACACCCCCACACCCCTGGAGGTACATGCACGCAGGAGCCAGGCGCAGTGTGGACTCTCCAGTTCTCCATCATACCTTCTCTGGGTGGAAGTCCTTGGGAGCAGCTTTGACTTCTGCCATGAAGGGGCTGAGTGTGATATCTTCGTTGTTGCAGAGCACATGGACCGCATATTCACCTGGCTCCTGGGGCCAGTAGCGGACATCGCAGGAACCATCTCCCTTGTCATCGCACTCGATCTTGGCCTGTGAGGGGCCCTCCACTGAGAAGCCTGCAAGGGCCCCAAGGAGAGCAGCCAGGGAGTGAGCACAGCAATTAGATCAGGGTCACACTGGCTGGGAAACAAGTCATTTTCCACTCACTGGACACAAGCTACAAGATCTTCAGGGCCAGGTATTTTGCTTTAAAATTGATAACCTGTACGCTAATCCTACAGGGGTTTCTGAGGCTGCTAAAATTATAAATTTAGCATGCAAACCATTTTGAACCCAGAAGTTTGGACAAACAAGTTAGGAGTCAGAGTTAAACAAAGACCTCTCTAAACAAAACCTTAACCAGTCTAGGGCAGTTGCAAGAAGCACTGGACCAAGACATTTTGCTAAAATGAAGCACGGAGTGGTGCCTCTCCCCTTCCCACATACAAAAGGAAATGATCTGAAATTGCTTCCACTGCTTGTGGAGGGACAGCATCCTGTACCGCACTTGAAAGCAGTAAGCTAGTTGGGCACACTGGGCAGGCTGCATGACACACACTGCAGCTGAGGGGTGGAGGGGTGGGAGGGTATCTGCTTTGCCCTGCCTAAAGGCGGAGCTGGCCCCGACTGCAGACGAGGGGGCTGAAGGGCTTTCTCTGTGAAAGCAATCCCTAACCAGGATGCCACCTTGGCAGACACCCTATACCTATAACCACCTGCCAAGCCTCAGGAAGAAATCACTCAGAAAACCAGCAATTATCTCCACCTATAAGCAAATGCATCAGAAAATAATTTCTGCAAATTCCTTGTTAACCATGGTTTGTTGAGGGGTTAACTGCTGAATTGTTCAGCTCCTAAACAACCCAGTGCTCTGGGTTTGAATGATAAGTATATCATTCGACTACCTACTATGGCACTACTCATGGGTTGCTGATTAGAGGTTGCCATATCATGAGAACAGGCATGTTATTTACAGTGGCCATGACAAGGGCACAGAAAATGAACTAGGCTCAATGAGCAAAAGCAGAATTTATGGTGAAGGCTAGCTTAGGACAGGGAACTCTGCTATTAGAAAGTGAGCAGGCCTCAAAGGATCCTTTTCACCTATTAAAGAAACCAGGCCCTCAGCAGACACTCAGACAAAACAGTGCCATATTCACTTTGCCCTCCCATCATGCTCTGCGCCAGGGCACTCTTTCCTGTATCTCCCACGGCCTTGCACTTTAAGGTTATATAGTGCATACCCACAGAATGACAGGGCTCGTTCCAAGCTTTCATCCCAACTTTTTAACACAGATAGTCAAGATCAAGCTGTGGCAGGTTTTCAGCTTTAAATGTAACTGGGAGGACAAGAAATGGCCAGACACCAAAACATGCTGTCCTGGAATCTGGAAATTAAACTTAACATAGGCTGGGGGCAACCAGTAGACCTGTTCTCCATGAATGTGATACTAGCTTGGGTGAGTTCTAAGGGCTTACTTAGAGACTTCACTAAGGTAGCAATGCATCACGTAAACACCATAAACTCCCAGCTATAACAAAAACACACTGGGTCATCTTCCAGCTCTCCCAGATTACCTAATGTGCCAACGTCATCCCCAATGGCTTCCACCACAAAATCAGCCGACTTGCCCACGACGCCTCCTTCCAAGCCTGGCCCCCAGGCGCGCACCTTCTGGTTTGTGCATTCTGTTCCCACTTTGACCTCAAATGGGCTAAAGGTCAAAAGATAACACATTTATGCTACATTGCTAAGAGAGCTTGCCTGCTCAGATTTGCCCTAGCAATGCAGCTGGTCATTACAGGAAAATTATCTGCAGCTCTCCCACCTCCACAAGATGAAAAGCAAGAAAACCATAAAATTGGTCTACCTCATTTTGATTCCCAGATATCTTTCAAAACAGGACAGTCAGCCCTCATTACATGCAACCTGCCCCCCCCCCCCCACCACCACACACACACACACACACACACACACACACACACACACAAAAGCACTGGTATTGTATGGAGTTCCATGTAAGCAGTCCAGTTTACTCTGCCTTGCCCACTCTGTTTAAATATATTCAGTAGAAGAACTTTTAGTCCCAGCTTTTCCCCACCCCCATGTTCTCCAGTTGTGTTGGATCACAATCCCCACCATTCCCATGCTGACTGGAAATTGGGGGAATTGCAGTCCACTTCAGCTGGAGAGTACCAGATAGAGCAAAATTGCTTTACTCCCACCAGGGGCTCCTGCTGAAGATGTGCCCATCAGTAACCTAACCTACCTGCGATATGAAAAGGTCCCCATTTCCCCCAGGGGAAAGAAAAAGGACAAGACAGTGTGAATTTCTCCCACACAAAATGCTACCCCCCTGCAGTGAGCCATTCCAGATCTCCCCTTCTTTGGTTGAGGTAACTATTTTTTCTTTTTCTTTTTCATAAAAGAGAAGTAAGATACAAGGATAGCAAGTGATTACATAAATATAGCATATAATTTCAACTGCTCATACATTCATGAATAAACAATTTTTCTCTCTCTTCTCCCCAGTTAAGTCAATTAGTTCTTAACTAAGAACTGCAGAGATTAATTTATCACACTGCTGAAACTAATTTTTAGATGGCATGCTTTTCCTGAATTTGAATTGCATGTATTATCTCCTGTTAGTCTACTTACAAACAAATCCACTGAAATGAATGAGACTTAAGTTAGACTAACACTGCAGATTACACAATACAATCTGTATCTGCATATGTATTGGTATTGGGGGGGTGGGGATGTGTTTTGAAAGGTGCTTTGTGGAACCTGCTTGTTTAATCTTATCAAGACACTGATATCCCACTTTGCAAGGTTTAGGCCTTTGCAAAGCCTATCAAATGCAGGGCAAATATTCAGGAAAAAATTGTATTAACCTCCCCTGCAAAAAACTAGTGTCTTGTGGCACCTTAACATTTTAGATTTATTCTGACATACCCTTTTGTGCATTATAATCTACTTCATCAGATGCACAGATAATATCATTGCCAAATATTGATAATGAAAATCCAATTTAAAAACTAAAAGAAATGGATTATAGAATATGCTGCATAAATGAAATGAATGCTCTGTAACTGAGATAATCTAGTTGAAGGGTTTAAGCTGAGAAAGCAGAGATTCACTATTATTTCTGGCCAAAGCACCCAAAACATTCTCTCTTTCCTATTAAGGGAGCCCCATTACGATGCCCTTCCTGACTGGTGCCTTCCCATAAGTTTCCGTCAACTCAGCCTCACCTGCGGGGAATGTGTTGCCCACCCCAAGTGATGGTGACCGTGTAGTTGCCAGGCACAGTGGGAAAGTACTCAAAGCCATATACTCCGTCACCCAGGTCCTTCTGCTTGACACGTTCCTCTAGTCCTTCTGTGGAGAGAAATTGTGGTGGGCGAGCAGGGCCTGCTGCAAAAACAGGTCCCGCCAGACAAACCTTGTGGAATTGTATGACAAGGTTTCGAGATGGCTAGATGGAGAGGATGCAGTGGAAGTGGTATACCTGGATTTCAGCAAGCCCTTTGACAAAGTGCCCCATTATATCCTGGTGGAGAAACTGAGGAGTTTTGGGATACACCAAAGCACTGTCCGGTGGATTAGGGCATGGTTGACTGACCGGAAGCCGAGGGTAACCATTAGTGGGGAATCATCGGGATGGCGACCAGTAACAAGTGGGGTCCCCCAGGGCTCTGTCCCGGGGCCAATCCTGTTTAATCTTTTCATCAGTGACATGGAAGAAGGGGTGAGCAGTCTGCTGATCAAATTTGCAGATGATACTAAAACGAGCAGTGGCCACAACTGAGGAGCAGGTACTCCAGATCCAAAAGGATCTGGACAGACCATGGAAGTGGGCAGGATAAGTGCAAGGTCTTGCACTTGGGGCATAGGAATAGGTGTCATAAGTACAGGTTAGGGGACAAGTGGCTGGAGAGCAGCACTTGTGAAAGGGACCTCGGGGTGCTGGTTGACTGCAGGCTAGACATGAGTCAGCAGTGTGATGCGGTGGTCAAGAGGGCGAATGCCACCCTTGGTTGCATAGCCAGAAGTGTGGCTTCTAGATCAAGAGAGGTATTACTACCACTCTATATGACTCTGGTGCGCCTGCAACTGGAGTATTGTGCTCAGTTTTGGGCCCATCATTACAGGAAGGATATAGCCAGGTTAGAGTCAGTGCTGCATAGGGCCACAAGGTTGGTGGCCCGTTTGCAGAGGATGGGGTATGAGGCGAGACTGAGGGAACTGGGTCTCTTCAGCCTTTCAGCCTGGAGAAGAGGAGACTCAGAGGGGATATGTTGGCGACATACAGGTATGTCGCCAACATATCCCCTCTGAGTCTCCTC